GATCCTAGACAGAAGGTTAGTAGGACGCAAAGAAGAGTTTTTGATAAAATGGAAAGGTTATGAACCTACGGACAATTCATGGGAAACGGTCAGAAACCTTAGCTGTCCAGAGCTACTGGAGTCGTTTCGTCGTCGACACCCAAGCGATCAAAGAAGCCAGGAGACAGGGCCGCGAGAAGGTCCTGGTCGGGGGCAGCACCCTCGGAAACGGCAGTAGAAGGGCTGTGCAAGAGAGTTCCTTTGACCTCTGCCTCCCTACACTCCTTCTCCTCTGCTTCATCCAATTTGTCCAAAGATTTCAGACCATGACACAGCATCTCAACACTGTGGGTTTTGAGAGCCTTCTGCTGTTTGCGAAGACGCATGCGACGGGCATATGCTTCCTGAGCGCAGAGGTGAGCCTCTCGCTCCTGAGATGCCACTGCTTCCTCTTCTACCTCAAGACGCTCTTCTTCTTTTCAAAGCTTCTCCCAATCAGTTGGAGAAGGGGTGCAAGCGTTGCATTTGGAATTGCGACGAGTACATTCACTACAATGATGACTACCAGCAACAATGATACAGAATCGATTGTTGTTAAGACAGCTGGAACATGGCGACATTAGGTTGCCATTCTTTTCAATATGGTCTGCAAGAAGATGACGTTCTTTGATTTTTATGTGTCTACTAGAAGACATGGTAAGCAGCGCAACCTGCTCAGCAATTAAGTGGGCATCACCCTACTTAAGTAATCAATTCCTTAATCAGCAAGACCTAAGGGACTAGGCCTTTTGGAGGAGGACCTAGTGTTATGGCTATGGTAACGTGACATCATGGTTACAGGACCAGGGCCTAGTAACGTGACGTGTGAAAGCTCCCCACACCCCTGAACCCCCACTCGAGCTGCAAGGCGCACTTGATATCGTAACACCGGGTGTAGTCTAGACTTCTTGGGTAGCTGCAGTCTGTAATTAACTGAGCTGACTTTGTTCAATATTTTGAATGGTCCCAATTTCTTGAAGTCCAACTTTGTACTTGGTCGTTTCATTTTGATGTGTTTCCGGAGTAGATATACTTTATCCCCCTCCTTGAAGGCAGGTTCCATACTGTGCTTCTTGTTTGCATATGCGGCAGATCGTTCATTTAAGAATTGGATGTCTGTCGCGAGTTGTTCATGGAACGATTTGAGTTGTTCCATGGCGATCATAGCTTGTTCTGCTCTTGATTCATCCAGTCGTGGTTGTCTATATGCCTCTGGCTGATAGCCGTAATTGGCAAAGAACGGTGAGACTTTTGTTGCTTCGGTCATCGCGCTGTTATATGCGAACTGTGCGATGGGTAATATCTGAACCCAATTGTCTTGTTGGTGGTGACATAACTCCTAGGTATTGTTCAAGGGTTTGATTCAGTCTTTCTGTTTGACCATCTGTTTGGGATGGAAAGCTGTTGATAGCTTATGATTTGTTCCCAAAAGTGCCATTAAAGATTTCCAAAATTTCGAAGTAAAAAGCTTGTCTCTGTCTGAGATGATTTCTTCCAGTAATCCATGATTGGCTAATATGACTCGAAGGAAGGTGTATGCGAGTGCTCAGCATTGCTAGCTTCTAAATACGGCACAAATATTCCATATTTTGTGAGTCTTTCCGTAATAACCAGGATAGCGTCAAATACTACTCCTGTTAACGGGTCCCGAGAGGGTGGTAGCTTGACAATGAAGTCCAAAGCTATGGATTTCCATGCTCCTGTTGGTACTGGAGTCGATTTCAGCTGTCCATATGGCAAGTGCCTATTTGATTTTGATTTGCTGCAAATGTCGCACTCTCTTACTACCATTTCCACCTGCTTGCTCATACCTGGAAAGTAGTAGTGTCGGGTGATTTGTTCTAAGGTGCATGTTACTCCCTGATGGCCGTGTGCTGGTAGCGAGTGTTGTTCTTGCACTAGCGGGCGTCTCATTTTGTTTGGGACATACACTAAGCCTTTGAATCGGATCAATCCTTGTTCATCGATGGCGAAGTCGCCTTCAGTTTTTATTAAGACTCGCTTTGCACATTCGTCTGTTGCATAAGCTTTCTTGAGTCTTTCTTCCAACTCCGAGTTTTCCACAGTGGCAATCGTGGCTAGCAACTTGTTGTATAGCATTCCTGCGTCTGTCTTCTTCAATATGGCTCTAGGTCTTTCCTCTTTAGGGCCGATGTAGTCGGTCCTTCTGCTAAGAGCGTCAGCTCTTGCGTTCTCAGAGCCCTTGCGATATGTAATTGTGAAGTTGTAGGCTGTGAGTGTCTCTGCCCATCGGACTTGTCTGCGGTTTAAAACCTTGGTTGTGGTGAAGTATATGAGATTCTTATGATCCGTCCATACCTGTACTGGGTAGGTCGATCCTTCAAGATATACTCGCCATTGCTCAAAAGCAACGACAATAGCTATCAGCTCCTTGTTGTGGATGTCGTAGTTGAGCTCCGCAGGTGACAGTTTTCTAGAGTAATATGCAACTGGCTTAAGCTTCTCGTCTTTGTCTGGCTGACTTAGACAGGCTCCAATCGCAAAGTCAGAGGAGTCCGTTTCGAGGACAATCCTCTTTGCAGGGTCGAATGTGACTAGGATAGGTGCTTCTGTGAACTTCGTCTTCAGTTCCTGAAAAGCAGCCCAGGTCTTGCTTGTCCATTCGAACGTAAGGTCTTTCCTTGTAAGCTCTGTAAGTGGTTGAGCTACCTTGGAATATCCCATAATAAACCTCCGGTAGAAGTTGGCGAAGCCTAAGAAGGCTTGTACTTCTTTGACCATGGTTGGTGTTGGCCATTCCAACACTGCCGTGACCTTTGCTTGGTCCATTTTGATGCCATGCGTTCCGACAATGTAGCCTAAGAATTCTACTTGATCCTTGTGGAATTCGCATTTTTCTGGCTTGAGGAGTAACCGATGCTCCTTTAACTTCTGTAATACCTTCCGAACATGACCAATGTGTTCCGTTGGGTCTCCTGAGTAGACTAAGATATCGTCTAGGTAGACGATAACAAACACATCCAAGTATTTATGGAGAGCTGCATTCATGAGCCTCTGCATGGATGCTGGTGCGTTTGTTAGACCAAAGGGCATAACCAAGTATTCAAACAAGCCATAGCGGGTGCGGAATGCTGTTTTCCACTCATCCCCTTTCTTGATTCGAATCAGGTTATAGGCGCCTCTGAGGTCCAGCTTGGTAAATATCTTGGCTCCCTGGAACCGGTCATGTAGTTCGTTTATCAAAGGTAAAGCATATCTATCTTTGATAGTGACATTATTCGTTCCTCGATAGTCCACGCAGAGTCTTAACTTCTTGTCCTTCTTTGGCACAAATAGTATTGGACTTCCTGCTGGTGATGTCGATGGTCGAATGAACCGTTTCGCGAGGTTCTCGTCAATGTATTCCTTCAGTACGTCCAGCTCTGCATCTGATATATTGGTCCGAATGGTGGACTCTTTCCTTCCATGATAGGTATCTCATGATCCCATGGTTGGTGCTTAGGAAGCGCCTCTTCATTAGGGCCTTCCTGGAATAACTGCTTGTATTCCTTATACTCCACTGGTATTTGCTTCAGTGAGGATGCCTGGGCTAGGTCATCAGACTCGGTGGTCGCACATAACTCCTTCCGGTCTTTGGAGGTTTTCTCCTTCTGCATCGTGTCCGTTCATTGTTCACACGCGCACTGGCTCATCACAAGTTTCTTATTCCGCCATCGATCTGGGGGTTGTGTTTCTTGAGCCACGGTACACCAAGTATGCATGCATGATTGTCCATGTGCACGATATCAAACTGTATCGTTTCCTTGTGTCCGCGTAGCATGACCATTTCTAATGGGACCGTCTCGTGGGTCACCATTCTGTTGTTGGTTGAGATGGGCTCCCCATCTACAACCATTAATGGGTATGGGTCAGTCTTCAGTTGCGTCCTGAAACTGTGTGTGTCTGCTACTTTCTTTGTCATAAAGTTGCCTGTTGCTCCTGAGTCTATCATAGCTCGGAGGTGTTGCTGTTGTATCTTAGCAACCACATATAGCTGCTTGCCGCCCATTGTGGCGCATAGCTGGTTGGTACTATGCCTCTTTGTGTCGCTCGCCAGTGGCCTTCTGCTGAGGACTCCTAGTTTTTGAATCGTCTGAGGAATAACCGTCTGAGGAAAATCCATCATGTTCACCATATTCTAATGGTCATACTGGTATCCTTTCTCTCTTCTTCATTCTGCTTCATGGCATAGGCGTTCGTGTGCTTCTAACACTCATGTTCCCCTTTCTTCTCTTGGGATGCTTTCCTGCTGGTGAGGGTATTCTGGTCGGCACCTCACTGTGTGAACTGCAATCTCCCAGTCTTGTGTAGTGTCCTGCCAGCTCATTGGTGGCTTGGGCACAGGAATTCTTTGGTCGACCATCTCCTGGAGCATGGCTTCCTTGAAGGTTCTCACTGCTCCTGGCAGTTGTTCCTTGAAGAGAGTCTTACTTGCTGTCTTCTCATAACGTAGGTCGTGGTCAGACCGGCTACATGGCCGGACCGGCTACCCCACCAAAATCAAGGACCAGACCACCAAACCACCAAGTTAGAAAATCGCAAATAATTCAATTACTACAGTGCCAATTCATCCAAATCGCTATCATATAGCTCTTCTTCACCCTCTCTGTCTATTTCCTCAATTGTAGCTTCCTCTATAAGTCGTGGTGTTGTTCTAGGCCTCTGTGAAGCTGTTGCTGATGCTGCTTCTGCTTCTGCTACTTGCGACCGGAGTTCTTCTGTAGAGATGTGGAATTGACCCTTCAAAACAGCTCTTTTACCCTTTTTTTGCTCCCTTCTTTTCTGAATTATGTTGCGCAAGTTATCCGTCTCTCTTTGCTGTAGTATGTGGCGTGTGTTAAGCCGCTCTGTCTCATCTGCTAACTTATGAATATATCGCTTTGTGGGAGTGTTGAGAATGCCATGACTTATTGTAGTAGACAGAACTGTATTTGCTTTGTGAAGTGTTTGAAAATCAGGTGGGCTGCTATTCAAAAATACTTTCTCAAAAATGTCATGCTCTGTAGGTGTCCTTGGCCGTTCTACTACAACGTCTGTAGTAGGAAGCGTAGCTGCGCGAATGACTGTTTGTGGCTGGAACGGCTGTAACGTAGGTCGTGGCCATACCGGGGCCATGGCCATACCGGGATGGTGGGGTAAGCCACCCCTTCAAAATATGAGCAGCTTCAAAATAATTGAAAATAGTTCTACCATTACCATGCTAATTCATCTATATCACTGTCAAATAGCTCCTCCTCACTCCCATCATCAATTAGATCAATTATAGATGTTGTAACTTGTGGAGTTGTTGATATTTTCGACTTTTGTGATGTAGCTGTTGTTGCTGCTTCTGCTTCTGCTACTTGCGACTGCAACTCCTCAGTTGTGATGTGGAATTGACCCTTCAAAACTGCTCTCTTGCCCTTATTTTGTACTCTGCGCTTCTGAATAATTGAGCGCAAGTTATCTGTCTCCCTTTGTTGTAGTATGTGGCATGTATTGAGCCGCTCTGTCTCATCTGCTAACTTATGAATATATCGCTTTGTAGGAGTGTTCAAAACACCACCACGACTTATTGTAGAAGAGAGAACTGTATTTGCTTTGTGAAGTGTCTGAAAATGAGGAGGACTGCTATTCAAAAATACTTTCTCAAAAATATCATGCTCTGTTGGAGTCCTTGGCCGTTCTAAGGGTGCATCTGTTGTAGGAAGTGTAGCTGCGCGTATGACTGTCTGTGGCCGGAATGGCTGTAACCCACTCCCTCTCCAAGCAGAAGTTATATTTGAATTTGAAAATGCAGCTGCTCTTGCTTGTATGTATGCATCCATCCATTCTGCTTTCTGTATGCGTAGGAGCTGCGCCTCATTAAGGTGTGAGAGGGCTGTTGTGAGGTGTCTTTTCAAAGGTCCAAAAATTGCAACATCAAGTGGTTGGAGTATATGTGAGGTATGTGGAGGTAGTATAAGGAGCGATATGCGATTCTGTATGCAGTGTGATATGAAGCTCCCACTTATATGGCTGTCATGGCCATCACAAATAAGGAGCCTTTGTTGTAGTTGTCCATTTGGAAGTGTTGCTTTTGCTCTTGTAGAAGGCTCAAAAACGCGTTTTAGCCACTCATATCCATGAAGATTGCTTGTCCATCCTTTTTGTATTTGCAGAGAAGTGCCATTTGCTTATAACATCCTTTGGAATCCAGCTCTGTAGTACATTCTGTCCCTTGAAGATAATGAGGGGGTCGGTGGTTGTTCCATCCATGCAGATGCACTCAACAGCAGAGACCCATTCCTGCCTTCCTGGATGTGCCTGAAAATGTGTCCTAAGTGTAGAATCGACTATAATTCGTGTAGATTGCATTGTTCCAATTGAAAATCCAGTCTCATCCATGTTGTAGGTGTTGTAGTTTTCGATTTTTTGCTCTGTTGTGAGGCTCTTGTACGCGTCAAACCACCCCTTCAACACCTGCTTTGTGACCCCATTCATCCTTTGTGCCTCAACCCTTCTTCCTAGCTTAACACGTAAGTTAGGATGCCTCTGAATGAACCGTGGCACCCAATCTTGCCCAAGTGGTAACTTAGGTAGTTGGAGTTGTGGTTGTTGAGTTTGTGTCTGTTGAGTTGGTCGGGTCTGCTGAGTTGGTCGGGACTGCTGAGTCGGTCGGGACTGCTGAGTTGGTCGGGACTGCTGCTGAGCCGGTTGGTTTGATGGGGTCTGCCAAGCCACTAGTTAGAAATAGCCGAGTCTGCCAGTCTATGGCAGGTTTGATGGGTTGGTAGTTGACTTGACTGAGCTGGTTAACTCTGTAGGTTGGCTCACCTGGGTTTGGAAGACCCGACACTTGTTTGACCGGACTTCCTCTGCAACCTCACGTAATATGCGATGGCTAGGAGCATAACCACTTGCAGTAAGATTTTTGATCCATTTTAAAAGGGTCTTTTCTTGGGTTTGGGAGAGTAATTGATGTTTTAAATGTGCTTCTTTATGTGAGGTATGTCGCCCTTTAATGCGGCTAACAACTGTATCAGGCCTTAGATGTAAGGCCTTTGCAGCAGCATTTGCAGTTTTATATAAACCAGATTTTACTCCAGCTACTGCTTCAAGTATTAGAATATCGCGTTCTTGAGCTTTTAAACTCCGTTTGCGTACCATAATAATGGGGTAATTGATAGGTTTGGTGTGTTGGTTGATGGGTTTGATGGGTTAGTTAAGTGCTCGCTTACCTCACCATCCCAGTATGGCCACGACCTACGTTAGCCCACTCCCTCTCCATGCAGAATTAATATTTGAATTTGAAAAAGCAGCTGCTCTTGCTTGTATGTATGCATCCATCCATTCTGCTTTCTGTATGCGTAGGAGCTGCGCCTCATTAAGGTGTGAGAGGGCTGTTGTGAGGTGTCTTTTCAACGGTCCAAAAATTGCAACATCAAGTGGTTGTAACACATGAGAAGTATGAGGAGGTAGTATAAGGAGCGATATTTGATTCTGGATACAGTGTGATATGAAGCTCCCGCTTATATGGCTATCGTGGCCATCGCAAATAAGGAGCCTTTGTTGTAGTTTTCCATTTGAAAGTGTTGCTTTTGCTCTTGTAGAGGGCTCAAAAACGCGTTTTAGCCACTCTAATCCATGAAGATTGCTTGTCCATCCTTTTGTATTTGCAGAGAAGTGCCATTTGCTTATAACATCCTTTGGAATCCAGCTCTGTAGTACATTCTGTCCCTTGAAGATAATGAGGGGGTCGGTGGTTGTTCCATCCATGCAGATGCACTCAACAGCAGACACCCATTCCTGCCGGCCTGGATGGGCTTGAAAACGCGTCCTAAGGCTTGAATCCACGATAATTCTTGTTGATTGCATTGTTCCAATTGAAAACCCAGTCTCATCCATGTTGTAGGTGTTGTGATTTTCGATTTTTAGCTCTGTTGTGAGGCTCTTGTACGCGTCAAACCACGCCTTCAACACCTGCTTTGTGACCCCATTCATCCTTTGTGCTTCAACCCTCCTGCCTAACTTAACACGTAAGTTAGGATGCCTTTGAATGAACCGTGGCACCCACTCTTGCCCAAGAGGTAAGTTAGGGATTTGAGGTTGTGTCTGTTGAGTTGGTCGGGTCTGCTGAGTTGGTCGGGTCTGCTGAGTTGGTCGGGACTGCTGAGTCGGTCAGGTCTGCTGGGTTGGTCGGATCTGCTGCTGAGCCGGTTGGTTTGATGGGGTCTGCCAAGCCACTAGTTAGAAATAGCCGAGTCTGCCAGTCTATAGCAGGTTTGATGGGTTGGTAGTTGACTTGACTGAGCTGGTCAACTAACTCTGTAGGTCAGCTCACCTGGGTTTGGAAGACCCGACACTTGTTTGACCGGACTTCCTCTGCAACCTCACGTAATATCCGATGGCTAGGAGCGTAACCACTTCCAGTAAGCTCTTTAATCCACTTTGAGAGGGTCTGCTCTTGAGTTTTTGATAGGAGTTGCTGGTGCTGGCGTGCTTCTACACGTGTGTGCCTTCCATTTATGCGACAGCGGAGGGTCTCCTGTGGTAGCCCTAAAGCTTTTGCAGCAGCATATATTGATTTGTATTGATTTGATTTAATAGCTAATATAGTTTTTTGAATTTGAATTTCGCATTCTTGAGCCTTTATACTCTTCTGACGGACCATTCTAGCATAGTAGTAGTAGTAACGTAACTCGTGGCGTAACGGGACGGATGGCATAACGGGACGCTTTGCCAGAGCCACCCGCACCCCACCAAAACCAAGGTCACATGACCAAAATTAAAATGTTAATAACTTTTGTAATAATGCTTATAACACTTAATCCTCTTAGACTATTACTCTTTATAGTCTCATTTCTTATAGCCGAATTTGCTAGAGTGTAAGCTCTTCTTATTAAGTAGTTATTTATAGTTTAATTTTTACCATATAAATATTTTATATAGTAAAATATAAGCTTTAATATCTTTTGTAAAACAAAACTAGTACTACTAGCGTTTTTACACATGTTAGAGTATGATATAAAGAGTAATAGTCTAAGAGGATTAAGCATCATAAGCATTATTACAAAAGTTATTAACATTTTAATTTTGGTCATGTGACCTTGGTTTTGGTGGGGTGCGGGTGGCTCTGGCAAAGCGTCCCGTTACGCCATCCGTCCCGTTACGCCACGAGTTACGTTAGTTAATAGGGTTGTAGGTTTGATGGGGTGGTTCCGACCCCACTACCCCTGTTACGCCATTACCCCCATTACACCATGACCTACATTAGTAATACTCCAGTTCTCTTTTCCCTTCAACGTGGCACATAGCTGTCCTGTTATTGACTTCCGTCGCACCATGTTGGGTTGGATGAGGTGATGTGGTGGTCTGGTAGTTTGGTGGTTTGGTGGGGTAGACCGCTTACGCCATTAGACCGCTTACGCCATGACCTACGTTATTGTAAAGAATACTATATTGAGTTCAGCACGAAGCTCCTACCTAAGGAAATACTATCTACTTATATAGTGGCGTCGTGCCAAAGGGATATCTGTGGATAACATGGATAACATAATATCCATGATATCCAATGTTATCCATCACCTGATATTCCGTGGATCCCTGTGGATAACATAATATCCATGATATCCAATGTTATCCATCACGTGAGGTTGCAGCCATAAGCGCTAGCCATAGCACTAACGTAGGTCGTGGCGTAAGCAGTCTAATGGTGTAAACAACCCATGTACCTTTGTAGCCAAATTTGAATGTGGAGGTACTTCAAAACAGAAACTTTAAAACCTAAATAACTCCTCTAATAAAATTATTAAAGTTTATTCGTCTTAAATATAAGGGCTAAGTTTATATATAATAATAGTTTATATATCAAAAGCGCTAGCAGTACTAGGAATCTGTTTCATAAGTTATTAAAGGTTTAAGTTTTACCATACAAAATATTAGTATGACAAATCTACAATTGTGAATAACTTCCTTATACAGCTAGCGTACATACTAGCTTAATTGATTATAACACAGGAGTCTATAAGCATCTTTGATATAAGAGGGTTAAACCCCATTATTTTAATTAGAGAAGTTATAAGGCCTTTTATTTTCACAACAATAAGTATCTGTAACGTAAGTCGTGGCGTAAGCGGCGATCTGGCGTAAGCGGCGATAAGTACCCTTATATACAACTTTGTATGGAAAGGTACTTCTACATCCAAAACTAAAACCTTAAATAGCTCCATGGATAAAAATCGTTAGGCTTAACTGTTCAATATTTAGGTTCTATATATAGGCCTTTACCTAATATAAAAACGCTAGTATTGCTAGTGTCTTTTTGCAATGCTAATTTAAGGGTTAAGTTTTCCTCATACAAATATTTGTATGAGCAATCTTCTCCTACTAATAGAAGCGTAATAATCACACTAGCAATACTAGCGTTTTTATATTAGGTAAAGGCCTATATATAGAACCAAAATATTGAACAGCTAAGCCTAACGATTTTTATCCATGGAGCTATTTAAGGTTTTAGTTTTGGATGTAGAAGTACCTTTCCATACAAAGTTGTATATAAGGGTACTTATCGCCGCTTACGCCAGATCGCCGCTTACGCCACGACTTACGTTACAGTTCTCTCTTCTACAATAAGTCGCGGTGGTTTTGAACACTCCTACAAAGCGATAGATTCATAGAGACGGATAACTTGCGCAACATAATTCAGAAAAGAAGGGAGCAAAAGAAGGGTAAAAGAGCTGTTTTGAAGGGTCAATTCCACATCTCTACAGAAGAACTCTGGTCGCAAGTAGCAGAAGCAGAAGCAGCATCAGCAACAGCTTCACAGAGGCCTAGAACAACACCACGACTTATAGAGGAAGCTACAATTGAGGAAATAGACAGAGAGGGTGAAGAAGAGATATATGACAGATGAATTAGCCTAGTAGTAATTGAACAATTTCAATTTTTTAAAGGTGGTAGTGGTTTGATGGGGTGGTTCCGACCCCACTACCCCCGTTACGCCATTACCCCCGTTACGCCATGACCTACGTTACCCCACCATCCCGGTATGGCCATGGCCCCGGTATGGCCACGACCTACATTACGTTAGCATTTTTATTAAAGGAGTTTATTAAGGTTCTAATTTTTGCAAGCATAAGTACCTCCATATACATATTTGTATGTGATGGTACTAATAGCTGGTCTGGCCATGTAGCCGGTCTGACCACGACCTACGTTACTCCAACCTTGAGCGAAGCGAAAAGTTGGTTACAACGATTACTACAAGTGGCTAAGTTATGCTCCAAGCCATCACATATTACGTGAGGTTGCAGAGGAAGTGCGGTCAAACAAGTCTCGGGTCTTCCAAACCCAGGTGAGCTAACGTAAGTTACTGCATCTACGCCATTGCTGCATCTACGCCACGACCTACGTTAGTCTAAGAGGATTAAGTGTTATAAGCATTATTACAAAAGTTATTAACATTTTAATTTTGGTCATGTGACCTTGGTTTTGGTGGGATGCGTCCCGTTACGCCATCCGTCCCGTTAACGTAACTCGTGGCGTAACGGGACGGATGGCGTAACGGGACGCTTTGCCAGAGCCACCCGCACCCCACCAAAACCAAGGTCACATGACCAAAATTAAAACGTTAATAACTTTTGTAATAATGCTTATGACGCTTAATCCTCTTAGACTATTACTCTTTATATCATACTCTAACATGTGTAAAAACGCTAGTAGTACTAGTTTTGTTTTACAAAAGATATTAAAGCTTATATTTTACTATATAAAATATTTATATGGTAAAAATTAAACTATAAATAACTACTTAATAAGAAGAGCTTACACTCTAGCAAATTCGGCTATAAGAAATAAGACTATAAAGAGTAACGTAGGTCGTGGCCATACCGGGGCCATGGCCATACCGGGATGGTGAGGTAAGCGAGCACTTAACTAACCCATCAAACCCATCAACCAACACACCAAACCTATCAATTACCCCATTATTATGGTACGCAAACGGAGTTTAAAAGCTCAAGAACGCGATATTCTAATACTTGAAGCAGTAGCTGGAGTAAAATCTGGTTTATATAAAACTGCAAATGCTGCTGCAAAGGCCTTACATCTAAGGCCTGATACAGTTGTTAGCCGCATTAAAGGGCGACATACCTCACATAAAGAAGCACATTTAAAACATCAATTACTCTCCCAAACCCAAGAAAAGACCCTTTTAAAATGGATCAAAAATCTTACTGCAAGTGGTTATGCTCCTAGCCATCGCATATTACGTGAGGTTGCAGAGGAAGTCCGGTCAAACAAGTGTCGGGTCTTCCAAACCCAGGTGAGCCAACCTACAGAGTTAGTTGACCAGCTCAGTCAGGTCAACTACCAACCCATCAAACCTGCCATAGACTGGCAGACTCGGCTATTTCTAACTAGTGGCTTGGCAGACCCCATCAAACCAACCGGCTCAGCAGCAGTCCCGACCAACTCAGCAGTCCTGACCGACTCAGCAGTCCCGACCAACTCAGCAGACCCGACCAACTCAACAGACACAAACTCAACAACCACAACTCCAACTACCTAAGTTACCACTTGGGCAAGATTGGGTGCCACGGTTCATTTAGAGGCATCCTAACTTACGTGTTAAGCTAGGAAGAAGGGTTGAGGCACAAAGGATGAATGGGGTCACAAAGCAGGTGTTGAAGGGGTGGTTTGACGCGTACAAGAGCCTCACAACAGAGCAAAAAATCGAAAACTACAACACCTACAACATGGATGAGACTGGATTTTCAATTGGAACAATGCAATCTACACGAATTATAGTCGATTCTACACTTAGGACACGTTTTCAGGCACATCCAGGAAGGCAGGAATGGGTCTCTGCTGTTGAGTGCATCTGCATGGATGGAACAACCACCGACCCCCTCATTATCTTCAAGGGACAGAATGTACTACAGAGCTGGATTCCAAAGGATGTTATAAGCAAATGGCACTTCTCTGCAAATACAAAAGGATGGACAAGCAATCTTCATGGATATGAGTGGCTAAAACGCGTTTTTGAGCCTTCTACAAGAGCAAAAGCAACACTTTCAAATGGAAAACTACAACAAAGGCTCCTTATTTGTGATGGCCATGACAGCCATATAAGTGGGAGCTTCATATCACACTGCATACAGAATCGCATATCGCTCCTTATACTACCTCCACATACCTCACATATACTCCAACCACTTGATGTTGCAATTTTTGGACCTTTGAAAAGACACCTCACAACAGCCCTCTCACACCTTAATGAGGCGCAGCTCCTACGCATACAGAAAGCAGAATGGATGGATGCATACATACAAGCAAGAGCAGCTGCATTTTCAAATTCAAATATAGCTTCTGCTTGGAGAGGGAGTGGGCTACAGCCATTTCAACCGCAGACAGTTATCCGCGCAGCTACGCTTCCTACAACAGATGCAGTAATAGTGCGGCCAAAGACTCCAACAGAGCATGACATTTTTGAGAAAGTATTTCTGAACAGCAGTCCACCTGATTTTTCAACACTTCACAAAGCAAATACAGTACTCTCTTCTACAATAAGTCGTGGCATTCTCAACACTCCTACAAAGCGATATATTCATAAGTTAGCAGATGAGACAGAGCGGCTCAATACATGCCACATACTACAACAAAGGGAGACAGATAACTTGCGCTCAATTATTCAGAAGCGCAGAGTACAAAATAAGGGCAAGAGAGCAGTTTTGAAGGGTCAATTCCACATCACAACTGAGGAGTTGCAGTCGCAAGTAGCAGAAGCAGAAGCAGCAACAACAGCTACATCACAAAAGTCGAAAATATCAACAACTCCACAAGTTACAACATCTATAATTGATCTAATTGATGATGGGAGTGAGGAGGAGCTATTTGACAGTGATATAGATGAATTAGCATGGTGATGGTAGAACTATTTTCAATTATTTTGAAGCTGCTCATATTTTGAAGGGGTGGCTTACCCCACCATCCCGGTATGGCCATGGCCCCGGTATGGCCACGACCTACGTTAATAGTCTAAGAGGATTAAGTGTTATAAGCATTATTACAAAAGTTATTAACATTTTAATTTTGGTCATGTGACCTTGGTTTTGGTGGGGTGCGGGTGGCTCTGGCAAAGCGTCCCGTTACGCCATCCGTCCCGTTACGCCACGAGTTACGTTACGCCACGATTTACGTTAAGTTAAGAGTTGCTGAGCTAGGTCTGTGCAAGATTATAGGTCTATATATTACTATTTCTGTTGTTAACTTTCTTACTCCGTGATGCTGATGGTCTGTGGTGTTGGAAAAGCTCTTGCTTTTCCGCCGATATCAGATACAATTATACCAAGAATCCAGGAATTTGTCAGAAAGAACGCCTGGCTGGCCATCCACAGTCCTGGAACGAAGGTGCTTTTCCCAAGAAATTCCAGATCAAACCCCTGTTGGAGCCACATCGCTTGTGTTAAAACCCACAGGACAAGCGCCGTTATTCCAAGACGCGGGGACGCAACCAGAGACGATGTGGGCAGATAGAATGGGAGGAACACCATATACCAAAGGAAGTACTAGGATTATAATCAGCGGTGGTCCAATACTGGCATGATCATATTTTCATACCTGGCTCGTACAAACTTTGTTGAAGGTCACAAACGAAAAGGTTTGTGCCAACATTGTCGACGGTAGGTCCTTTTTCGCCAACAACAGCGGAAGCGCAATTGCAGAGAGAAATAGCTGCGGAATGAATGCCAAAGTCTCCAGATGCATATATGAGGGGGTGGATGCAGTAGAGCTTAAGTATAAAATGGTGTTATAGGGCGAAAAGTTGTGCCGGTGATCAACGCGTGTGACATGGTGAAGATACGTATGATGTAAGAACGGACTCCCATACCTTGAAATTTGTTAGTGCAAGAATGTAATAAAAAGCCTATACACCTACATGTAATACATGGCCCAATTCAAGGCGATAAAAGTCCCAAAACTCAGAAAGGCAAGCATGATCCGGGGCTTATTACAAAACCTTCGGGCCCTGTTCCACAATGACGACTCCTGTGTCGATTTTGGCCGCAGCTGCAGTTGCTCATCATCTAGCCACCACACTATTGACGGGGCATATATAAACGGGTATATTTTGAAATGAACCCCAACGCCCAGCAGTACACTAGCCAGCACAATCCGGCGTTGCATGACTGCCCAAACCAAAGCAACCGTCATGGCGGCAAGCAGGCCCTCTGAGCTTCCCCTTGTACTTATGGTTGCAACCATTGGATTTAACAACCAGATGCTGGCGAATTTCAGCGCTCTATCCATCGGCATTCCACCTGTGGTTCGGAGGACGAGGACAATAAGCCAGCCGGTAATAATGTCGCTCAGGGCAAACAGAGCCTTGCCGAATGAAAACCAATCCCCTTGCCATGTAGTCGGTAAGAGCAGCCATGATAGAATAGGTGTATATCGATATGTTTCACGATCGTAGGGCGAATGGTTAGTTGCGACATAACGAGCAGCATCCGTAAAAACATAATAATCGATATCGGTGTACTTCATTGGTGAGTTGGCATCTTGCCATAGGCCGTATAGAAACAGGCCAATTCTCAGAATTATTGCGGCGGAAAACACAGGGACTGGCCCGAACCAGGTAGACTTGGTGCCCATGGTTATATCAGATGTCAAAGAGAATGTCTTGGGCCAGAGGAGACCGTTACCAGCTCTGTGAATTGCGAACGGCAACCCAGGTACAATTTCCAGAAATCAACTTCTGATCATAGGGCTCACCAGGCCAAACAAAAACCATCTCCCTACGCCAGTTGGCGCTATTATTCTGATCGATTGCAGGCCGGAGTTGGAGCTTGACCAGGCGACGTTCGATTGAACCAACCGCGCGCGCGCGTATGTAATTGCCGAGCCAGGCCACAATTGACAGCCGCGCCACAACAAATGCAATGGACCAACACGATAACACGTGATCACTCTCAACGTTCAGTTTCCCATTTAAGAACGCATGCTTTGTCGCCATAAGTTACAGTTCGTTTATACATTCCCTCTTATTTTAAAATAACAGACCATATGCCGGCAGAGAAACGATCATACGAAGAGATGGCGGAAACCCCGAATCCATTTTTGCCAATTTTCGATGGCTTTAGGGCTGAAATCGATGAGAACCACCTTGCCAGGGAGCGCATAATCAAGGCATCACGAGATGTCACAGCTCTTAGTAAGAAGGCGTGAGTAGTGCCATGATTATACGAGTGATTAGATTATTAATTCGATTCCAGTATTTTCTCTCTCCAGAGGTATGATCACCAGTTTTGCGATCGCATAGGGGGATATATATGTTAGTCAAAGCTAAGTCAGCGACCAGAGTGAGAACCAGCAGCTCAGGGATAGCCCAAAATATCAGTACAGAAGTCCAGGGAGGATTTGAGGCTATCTCGGAGCTATTTAAAACCATGTCGAAGGACCTTCAGGGCATCAATTCCTGGCGATATCAACGCCAAGCCTCACCCGGGATCCAGGAATTCATAGAGGCTCTCTCATGTTCGTGCCCTGCCTCCCTTAGAACGGCTTATTGGAGATTTTCTTAACGTTGCAGCAGTTGAGCACTATCTTAGAACAGGAAAGCTAGTCACGAGAGAACTTGCGACGAAAAGCATGATATGGAATATTCCTTTAACGGTTGACGACTACGCACTGGGGTTATTCGATCTATCGGGGGAAATCATGCGGTTTGCAGTCACTGCCATTGCGACAACAGGCTCACTGCCAAATTTGAAATCCAGCCATTCATTCATCGATCGCTCGATACTAACAGACCTGAGGCACCTGAGATCCTCCTTTGAGGCACTGGATACAACATCTTGCCATGGAACAAGCCTTGGCGGAGAAATCGACAAGAAGATGGAGACCATGGTACAGAGTGTTGAGAAGGTGGAGAATGCGGCATGTTCCTTAATTATCAGGGACCACGAACGGCCCAAGCACACGCCAGATAGCGACAATAACTGAGCCATCAAGAGTCACTGTAAGGAACCTATCTATGCCTCAAGTATGAAGGTTGCCATTGGAATCGAAGTACGAAGCAGAATCAGCCGATGGATTGCCCGGCGGGATAAAACGCTGGCGGATCTCAATCGATACGTCAGGCGCGAACGAACTAGTGGTTGTATGTGAATCACTGCTATATGGTCTGCCCCATCAGCGTCCTCCACAGTTCGCTTCGCCATGTTGATCGCTGTGGGTGATGGACTTGCTGTATGGATATGTATATGTATATGCTATGTGTCATTGACGGAACTATTCGACTCAACGAGTTACACTTATGCGCTGGTAACATCCTCTGTTGCTTGTCGAGCATCTTCGTCAACGGTTCGTGTGCGAAGCTGCAGTGCGTGGATCCCTCCTTCTTGTGCCATTTCATCCTTCAGCAAGGTATAGACCATTCGATGTCTTGCGGGTTGCGACTTGGCTTTGAAAGCGTCCGAGGTTATAACCACTCTATTGTAGTACTATTATCAGAGTCGTTCTAAAAGAAGGATCCGAATACAAACCTGAAATGGGTCTCCTTTGAGGTATTGCCTTCCATGGCCTTATGGTGCGAGTGCATGTGAGAATCATTGTGTATTTCTAATTTCTCTGGTTTGAGCGCATCGCTGAGCTACATCACCGAGTTAGCACAGACTTGAGGGGTTGTCATCGGATTATATAACCTTTGCCCTCATGGCGTCTTCGAGTGGTTTCGAAGCCATAATTGTCGAGAACGGCCTACTTGCCACAGTAAACGCCAGTCCGCGCAACATTAACAAGTATATATTCCTTGGTAGGGCGCGTTGAGATATGTGTCTCTGCTGGTTTGGAAGTATGGATTGGTTGCGGATAAATAAATACTGGAGCATGTGCACAGATGTGACGGACCCTGGCTCGCTTATCGACGGGTCACCTGCTGATAAGAACAGTTGAATCTCTCACACGAGACCGTTTCAGAAGGAAAGGAGGTTCAGCTCGGCATGGTTGAAGAAGCCAAAATGGTATGCCGATGCTACATAAATGTAAGTAGAGCGAAGTGTTTCTGGAATTGTTGAATATATTTCAAGGCTCAAAAGCGATCGCCATCAAAAATCCGGGGATTAGTTAGTATGCCAAGCGCTTTCACGCAACTACCGATGCGCGCAACCCGGCAAACCTGCTGCCCCACCATACACTTGAGCAACGTGCCTTACTTAGATGGACACTTGAGTCCATAACAATGCTACATACAACTTGTCTCTGCGCCCCTCGAGTGTGGAGCGTCTTATTCAAACGGCCTGTAATTCTCCCTCGTTGGTTTATTTCAGGAGTTCCCAGGATGGCGTCCACGCTCCCCAACCTGCCGGTGTTCCAAGCAATTTCACGACATGATCCAAGTTCAACAGCCGTCATTCATTCGGAATCAGGCCGGCGATTTACATACGGCGAGCTGCTTTCAGATGTTGCCAAAGCCAAGGATAGGCTGCGCTCTCCGGATGGGAAGGAGGCGCCTGAAGGCGAACGGATAGCATTCATTATAGAAAATAGCTATGATTACGTAGGTACGTCGGATGAAACCCCCAAATAAATATTTATAAGCACTCATATGATTCACAGTAACTCTACTGTCTATTTTGAGTGTGCATTGCATTGCTCTGCCCCTGTCACCAGCATTTCCGCCTCGAGAATTACAATATGTCATGGACCATAGCCAAGCATCAATGTTACTTGCTTCAAGCAAGTTCTACAAAAAGGCACAGGATGTTGCTTTGCAAGGCCTCTCTTTGCAACCCCGCGTAGTTGAGGTGGAAAGACTTCAAGCGGGTGAAATTGGACGTGCCGAGGTCTCGTTGGGCGGTCCTACCGATGGCCAAGGAGGCATAATGCTTTACACCTCTGGAACCACTAGCAAACCCGTGGGTTCGCGTCAATATCTACGTAACCAAGCTAATTTGAAATAGAAGGGTGTCGTCCTGGCACAATCGGTGATCACTGCACAGGCACAATCTCTCCTGCAAGCCTGGAATTATGCGCCCGAGGATCATCTACTCCACGTTCTTCCTCTTCATCACATTCATGGTATCATCAATGCAATTCTAGCGCCGCTTTTCGCAGGTGCTACCATAGAATTTCTTTTCCCATTCAATGCTACTGCTGTCTGGAAGCGCCTTGGAGCTCCATTCTTGGAAAACTCAAAGGCCCCAGAAGAGATCACATTTTTAACAGCAGTTCCGACAGTTTATAACAGACTTCTTTCTTCCTACAAAGACCTTCCGGAAAGCCTTCAAGCTGCGACGAAAACGGCAATATCCCCCAAAACCATGCGCCTGGCAATTTCAGGCTCGGCTGCCCTTCCGACTCCTACTAAAAAGGCTTGGGCCGAGTTAAGTGATGGAAATGTACTGTTAGAGAGATATGGAATGACAGAAGTTGGAATGGCCCTTAGCTGTGGCCTCGAGTTTTCGGACCGAGTTGATGGCAGCGCTGGATGGCCTCTTCCGTCTGTGGAGGTGCGCTTACTTGATACGGAGACAAACACCGTTATTGAACCTGGGCAGGAGAAGGATGAGGCAGGGAAGGACAGGGATGGTGAAATCCAACTTCGAGGGCCAACCGTTTTCTCAGGATACTGGAATAACGACCAGGCTACGAAAGAAGCATTCGTAGATGGAACGGATGATAAAGGGCCTTGGTTCAAGACAGGTGACATTGCAGTCCGAAGACATGTCCCAGAAGCGGGCCAAGGGGAGCAAGCCTGGGCTAAGGGGCCTATGTACTTCATCAGGGGCCGCAGAAGTGCGGACATTATCAAAACAGGCGGAGAAAAAGTCAGTGCCTTGGAAGTTGAGAGAGAGCTCCTTTCGCTCCCAGAGGTGGCTGAAGCTGCTGTGGTCGGGGTTCCTTCGGCAAAATGGGGCCAAAAGGTTGGCGCTGTAATTGTTTTAGAGCAACATAGACTAAGTAAAGATGGCAAGAAATGGGGCCCAATGGACATGAGAAGAGCCTTGCGGGACAGGCTGGCAAACTACAAGATACCTCAGACGATGAAGATCGTTGACGAGATACCGAAAAATGCCATGGGTAAAAGTAAGTTCATCTCATCCATATCATATGAACAACAATACTAATAAATACAGTCAACAAAGCACAGCTAGTGGGAAATGTATTTTCTGACGAAGCCAGCGGTGATGAGGTATAGCGGTTATAATAGATGAATTATTCTATCTGAGCATTGTATCCACAGCAAATAAGGTAATGGTGGCCATGCACCATGGAGACGCGCATCAAGCTTGTGTCATCGCTAAAAAAAGGCAAATCCGCTTGGCTCTAACGCCTGCCGGTATGGCCTCTATTCGTAGCAATGATATATAAGGACATGAGAAGCCAGTAAAGTCTGAGACCTTCAGAAAGACCTCAGTGCCTGATTGGTAAATGACTTGCTCCTGATGACGATGTAAGAACATAAGAATGCTCCAACAGACAAAGTGTCATCATATGTTTAGAAGCCTCTGCCCGAGTCGACTCGACGGTGGCCCGCGCTTGTCATCTGTTCGTCCCAGTTTAGACAACGAACTTGGCCTTGGCACGCGTGCTGCCAGCATGTGCGCTATCGGTATGTCCAGAGAACTCCACCACCTCATTCGCAGGAATTGTCAGGACTTCCTTGAACTTTCGGCCGATATTCTTGAGGATTTCCTGGCCTCTCTCTGTGGGTCGTCCTTTCCCTCCTGCAACATCACCATCGCCTCCACCTGGGATGCTCTTTCCGATCGTCCTCGTCCACACGCCAACACGGAAGAACCCCTTGCGTACGTTAACAACAACCCCCATCACCTCTCCGTCGTTTTCTTCCTCGAGGGTCTCGCCAATAGCAGCAAGCATCACATGAAGCCACACGTCGTCGATCGCCACGCTGCGCTTGTCCTTGAACTGGTACGACCATTTGCCACCGTGCTTATTCTGGATATCCTCCCATTCTGGCCTTACTCCTTCCTTGAAGAGATGATAGTCGGATTTCAGAGCAAGCTCCGAGGTGGGGGTAATATTGTTCTAGATAGAAGTCAGAAACAAAACGGTCTCGAAGAAAGAGGCCACTCATACGTAGACTCCCCAGAATTCCTCCACTGAATTGAAGGTGATGATCTCCTTGAGTAGTTCGTTCCAGTTATCTCCCTGGAGAAGACTTAGCATGCATTCGTTAGTTGGGTTTTATTCAGAAGTATGTACCTTTCCAGTAGGTGGCTTGGTGAACCAGAGCGTCCATTTGTGCATTAAAGGATGCTTCACGTTGAAGTTATCCGGGTCGTGAAAGACGGTGATTTGCTCATCTGCAGTTGCTGCGGCCGAGGGCTTTCCTTGCGGCTTATCTTGCCCAGCTGGGGAAATCGGGATGGTGGAGAGGTCAACGGGGGATGCAGGTTTGGCATCGCCATTGGAAGGCATTTCGGACGCAGACGACATGGGTACAGGCAAGAGGAGCGAGATTGTCGCGTTTTTGAGATCGGCTTGGTGGGGTAGTGCAAGACTTGGTGTTGCGTGTGGCGTTTGGATCAATGTTCAATGTTCGATGCTGTCCACAGATGGAATAATCGGAGCCTCTGTGGTTGATCGGAGGAAGAAATGAGGTGAAGCTGTCGTCAGGTGAATGGCAGGTGAGAAGATGCTGAAGGGGCCGAATTAGGTGAGGTGAAGGTTTGTTGAGTTTACTTCAGTGTATCTTGCACACTTTCCAGTGAAAACAAAGGCGGCAGGCGGCTAGGAACAGAAAGTTTGACGCTAATGTGGGTGGTCCAGCACAACAAAAAGCCCGCGTGGCGCTTATTTCTGCTGGTGCAAACTGTTGAGCACAAATTTGGAGCTTGACGACTTAATTGAGTAAAACTACGGGTGCAAACCATATATATATACCGTCTAGCGGTATACAGACTACACTGTGTAGCGTACTTCTAGGAACGTAGTTCCAACACAAACACCAGTCTGTCCCCTGCGCCCTGATACTTTTAGCCGCCGCGTTTTTCTGTTATCTTATGTAATCAATGGGGTCGAAGCATCGCCAAGCCAATTTGTAGAACTTGAGAAATATATAGTCTTTTGAAGCAACTGCCCTCAGTTGCTTCAAAAGACTATATACCCTTGAATGAATTATTTCGGGTGAATCTAAAGTGCCCTCTAGTCTAGTCCATCTGCAGATACCACGTGTGGATATAAGTACACGGAGTTGAAAGTCCATCTCTATCGCCAAATAGAAATCCCAGTTCACATTGCTACACCTCGATATCCTCAGGTCTTCGCATCCACCTAGTTGCTGGCTCATTTGCTGATGTAGCTGAGATAACAGTTCCAGAAAATCGAGAGGCCATTGACAAAAAGCACCCGATAATCGAGGGGAACGACTGAGAAGTTGACAACCTGCACAAACGGCCAGACCATCCAGTTGCTCTGTAGAGCGCCGGTGTATGTCTTGGCCAACTTTTCGCGGGGGCTTACACCCTCCAGGATGGACATGGTGCTCAGAAACACGAATAGGTTCGTTGGCGCAAACAGAAGCTGGTCAACCCCCACACGTGCACAAATCTCCAATTTCTTGTTTGGCAAGACAACTCTGGTCTGTAGAAACCTGAACCATGTTGTTGCTGCAGGTCCAAAAATCGCTATTCCGTTCAATTAGTACAAATTCAGGTACAGATCCTACCCCTTGCTTGTCTTACCTCCGCCATATAATGCCATGCGGCCGGTACGAACGAATTCATGCTTCTCAACTCCTTTGCGCTCCACGGCTTGCTGCGCCATGATATCTCCCGTCGCGAATAATATCGCCGTGGTCACGCTCTGCGTAAGCATGGGGCGCGTCGCCAGCTTCATGCGGTACCTGTTGGTTGATTTTAGTCGTCACGGTCCCAGTAAACGACGTCCAACTCACCAGCGAAGCATAACTGCGAGTTCTCGTCTGTCTCGGGTTTGTTTTATGGGTTGGAGAATGAAGCACCTCGGAACTCTTATTTCCCAACAAAAATATCGTTATGTTGTTATGCCCCTTAGGTGAGTTAATTTTAGCTCCTTGTGGTCACCGGACTCGTTTAGCAATTGAAGAAGTTTCACTGTTGGATTTTGTGTAAGTTTATGACTCGCATAGCACATTTCATGCGTGATCAGCCTCTAAATGCGCTGCTAAACTCCCAAAAGAAAGTTTGCCTTGGTCTGCTTATGCAGAGATCACCCATCTACGTTTTTACACCGCTCCATAACGACTAGTGCCATCGGCCTCTCTGCCTTGCAACCTCCAAACACAGGCGGTCACCGAACCACACTGGCTACAGAGCCCCAGAGGCACCAGGGCAAGCATTTTCTTATTATACCACGTTAACAAAGTGATAGAACGGCTACCAGGGATGATTTAAGGTAAAATAATATGGTACATCAGTAAAGGACCCCAAGTATCCAATTAACTATGTAACAAAGGCATCCCAGTATCAACCCGGCAGATAACGAGGAGCTATCACGGCTTAGGGACAGACATAGTCATGGAAACTGCACCCCTGACTCCTCCCTCTGTCTCTTCCTTTCGCGTCTAGTTATGTACGATTTGGCGATTTTCTTCGATGTTGGAGAGGTGATGGATGGAAGAGAAGGGAGTACGCTATAAACCGGGGATTCAGAGCCCAACGGTTTCGTGGGTTCTGATAGCTTATCAGCGTCAATACCCACCGATGACTCTACGTCTTGGGTCGATTTTGGCCGAGAACTACGTCCAACTGTGACTTTGTTTTGGTTAAATCCACCCCTGTTGCGGTTTTCACCACATAGTTCTCGTTCTCCACCAGCCTCGATGGGTATCGGTGGATGATCAAGTACCGGCGTTGAAAGACGCTCCGATCGCCCAGCAACCTTTCCTGCGCTGGGTTCCGTAGTAACATCATTAGTCCGACGGTCTTTGTCGTGGCCTTGTTGTAGTTCGTCATGCATCGAGACGTGTCCTGGAGCATCATCATCCTTGCTTGTATCCCAGTTGAAAGTCCCCAAGATAATAGAACCAGCCGAACTGTGAGGACTTGGTATTGGCTTTTTTGGTTCCAAGGGTGACCCTAGAAAACGTGCTTCTGGTAAGGAAGGCTGGTCTTTTTGAGAACGACTATAAGGAGTTCTTTCAATCTGTAGGACCGGAGACTCCTGCGACCTCGTTGGGGACGCCGTTATAGTAGAAGCTGGGATGCGAGACAAGTAGATATCATCGGAAGACTGAATGACATCACCAATAGCATATGGTACTCTCTGCTCCATATCATCTTCTGAGTGTGGTATACTAGAATGGACGTTGTTGGCTAGAGATCCACCTCCGCCTTTCAAACCCGTCCCAGTATCGAATTTAATATACGATGAATCTGAGAGACTCGGCAATATCGATGATAAATGAACATTTCTGTCCAAATTTAGCCTTGGACCGGGTGAACTCTCGGAGCTGCTTGGCTCAGGGACTTGGTTCGCAGGCCGGGGCGAATGTGTATTTGAATGAGGCGGTGGAAAAGCTGATATGATTAATGGTTCGTTGCCATTTTCTGGGATAGGACCTATTGATGATGCCCTTGAAGTCGGTGCCCACGACAGGGCATCGTCTTCTTCTGGCCCAACCGCGTCCAGTTCTACAGCCGGATCGTTTTGGAATGCGGTATCTCCGGAAACGTTGTCGCTGAGATTTTCAGTACGTTGGTTCCCATGATAGCTATTCCGTGGACTTGACACGTCAACCCTCCTGGGAGAACCATCGTTGAGGTTACGTTTATTTGTGCCACCTTGCCTGGCTTCAACTGGAGGGCCTGGCGTAGTATTAATTTGGTCTCTAGTATCCTCTACATGCTCGAGGGCTGGGGGCATGAGGCTGTCAGGTGTATCAGGTTGGAGACTTGTATGCAACGATCCGATATCTGCTACGGAGGTGACCCACGACGCGGCGGTGGAGAGCTTCACAACTTGGTTTTTGGGTATTATGACATGCTTGAGTGGGATTCGGGTCAGCTTTCCCCAGGGATTCTCATGGAGAGAATTGAATGTTGGCTTATTTGTCGGTCGCGAGTTCAACCCGATATCCCTCATTAGCTTAGGCAGCTCGTTTTCTGACCGTGACGTGATGAGTCGTAATGGATCAACAAGAGGAGTTCCAACGTTACTTCCACGTTTGTTGGTGCTTTGGGAACCCACCCGGGGGTTCTCACCAGGAACTCCTTGCCTTGAGTGAACTATTGGCTTGCCGTTGCCGCTACCCTTATTCTCATCGACCGGCATACGTATATCGTCGTTCCCGCTCCCTGTTAATCGAAGGAACTTTTGTTCATTGCTTTCTCTTGCACCATCTTCAATCGTCGCTGCCCGCTTATTATCTGATAGCGAAGTAGAACGGCGTGACTCGGGTATCCCACCTACCAAATTTGAAGATGAAGTGTTGGGTTTTTTGTTTTTTCCTATTAGCCCGAGTAGTTGATTCCCAGGTAGGTTAACTGCCTTGAGGGTCCTCGACGAAGGAGCAGGCTTCTTTGTCACTTTGCTGTGTTTATCACAAATTTCCGAAGCTAGTGGAGCTTGCGTTGCAAGTTGCCCATTTGGACTCCCCATTTCATCGCCCCAGGGGCTCTCGGTCAAAGAATGTATGGGGGAGGTGCATTTATGACGGCTTCTGGCCAAAGCCTCCTGCGGAGGCACTGTATTCTTCATTCGCGTTATCAGATGTCGGACATCTTCAATTTCCTCAATCGGCACCGGAAAACCAAGGTTAGATGAACCCTCGCCACCTTTCAAAACAAGACTATTAATATTGAGTGTCACTCGTGGGACACCTTTTATTTCCGGATTGAATATCTGCGGCATCGGTTAATCAAGATAGTTCACAACGAAGCCACGCGAAAGAACACTGACCAAATAACACCTGCCAATCTCGAAAATGGCCCCAACAGTTCTATGTGGTAAGCGCCGGTCGTACCTCTTCTCGAACTGTTTTCTTGTAGCTTCCGATAAACTCGCACGGATTTGACAAGACACGTCCGAGACCGAAATGTTGGTAAAAGGTGCCTTTTGTTGACCATTAAACTGGGAAGGTGTCAGTCAGCAGCTGCAGGATGGTCCGTAAGTTAACACTGACATCAATGATTTGCACTGCTCTTGTGCCAGATAATTGCACTCGCATAGCGTTATCATGGCCCTTGGTGGTACCCTGCAAAGAATTCTGCGTCGAATCACGTAAAAGTTTCTTAGCTTCCACAATAACTGTTCCGCATATCCACTGCTGCAGCTCGGGCTCCATTCTCTACAGACATGAATAAGGTTGCAGCACTTTGGAACACTTGTCGCACCTGAGCGTGTATGTGGTGATTGGGAAAAAGCAACTGCACGCAAGCTGTTCCGACGAGCTCCTTGCAGAGAATAGCAATCAAAAGCCGCTGCTATACCTCGTCTTCAAGTTCTAAAGCTGAAGGTGATGCTTTTGTGTATGCTGATTCCTCTCTGGCTGACTTTTGGAGACATAGGGCGATCAAGACACTCTCGATCTAGACGACGCGTTTGTTCGTGTGTCGGGTTCAACGAGCAGACGCGAGTATCACGTGACCAAATTTTAACTTTTGTGGTTGTGGGGTAAGTTGGAGTAACGAGTCGCCAGCGACGTAATTGCCCAGCTAGGTATACACCAGATAGCTTGTGTTGCCTTCCACAGTACTGTCCTGCGGTTCAGCAGCACGACTCTTACGAACTACCTCAGCCCGTATGCAACAGCCACTCGTGACAGTATATTATTATGACAAATGTGTGCTTTCATGCATTTGAAAGGTTTCTATCGCACGCCGAGGAGTGCCCGATAAGCATATCCTTGACGATGTACTTTTTATCAAACAGTATGCACGAACTGCAACCTCACTGAGACTGTAACAACAGCTGATCCTGATCAGATTTTGGGCGAGAGGACTGATTGCTTACACAGCCCTACGAAACATATACTCGAGCCGCTCGATTTCGACAAGCCGCGCTGTCGTTAGCACCGGATCGACCGCCGTCGGTATCGAATCGATGACCCAGTTTCATTTCAGACATAAGCACCACCTACGACATGTCCTCACAAGATTCTCCGCAGAATTCTTCTTCTTCGAGGATGATGGCAAGCCTTCCATCTGGACTCCGGTCTAGACGGGGCTCTCTTGCATCGCTAGGAGGATCGTCACAGGCGGACAAAGAACAGCTGACCCAAGCTCTCGATGCTATCCACAATACTGCGTCTCACTCGGAAACGTTGACAACATTTAATGAATTTGCTTCTCCTCCTTCATCATCGTTAGGCGTTGAATCAAAAGGTATCGCCGGCGAACTGATGCAAAATGGCCTTAGTGGTCTATACAGTAGGTTTAGGGGTGTCGTGGGCGGCGCAAAAGACAAAGGTCACCAACCCGTGGCCAAGAATAATGTCGACAGTCGTGAAAAGCCGTCAACCCAAGGCCAGAACTTCGGCACCAGTACCGCGAACTCTTCGGTGCCCGCCATCTCTAGGGAAGAATCGAACTTAAACGGCTCTACTGGTGAGGTGGTCTCAGATCCACCTCCTGGTCAGCTGCCCATTATATCAGCTTCTACAACCCCATCCGGCAGCAGTTCGCAGTTATACCAGTCGTCCAAAGCGTCGACTCACTTTACTCCGACGACTGCCAAAGCATTACTATCATCGCGGCCAGGCATGACTTCTAGAAGCGAGTCAACCGCTGCAGCTGCAGCTCCCACATCGACACCTGTCAATGTAGTAGCATCAGAAGATCGAGAAATCGGTGCTGATTCCTCAAAGGAGCCCGGTGAGAGTGGCTCGGTTAACCATTTCATGGCTCGAAGGACAAACCACGTCCCACTACGTGCACACCCCATTGAAGATTGGGATGCGTTTGATATCAAACATTCTGATGCCCCTAGTTCGGAACAAGGCCATGGGCGAGGGGGACTGCCTTTTATGCCTAGTTTAATTACATCTTTGGGGACGGGTCATGAAATGCCGATAATTGAAGGGCAAGAAGAATCCTCAGCCACAAGCAGCCGCCGATCTGCAAAGTCATCGCAACGCCCGTTAGATGCGCATGCCGCATTATCGGCTAACCATACAAGCCAAAAATTGAACCGGCCCACAGCGATTGACAGATTTTCACAATCACATTTACCGGGGTATCAATCATCGAGGGCTTCGTCAACGGAACGCAGTGCTACAGAAACGAGTCCCGTGAACACTTCCACCCGTAATAGCGTCAACCAGGAGCTGTTTTATGCCGATGAGAGCCACCATGGCCGCCCAGCTGGCGCAAACCGCACCCCGGGTTCTACTCTTAATGAGGGGGGACCGGATGTTGTCAACGCTAGGCTAGAGCAAATGAGAAAGCAAGTGCTGAGCAAGGAATTCTGGATGGCCGATGAGATATGTAAGGAATGCTTTCTATGCGGTGATCCATTTACAGCATTCAGAAGGAAACATCATTGCCGAACCTGTGGGTGCATTTTCGATTCAAAGTGCACTTCAATAATTTCTGGCGAGCGTTTTGGTGTCCAAGGAACATTGAGAGTGTGCAGAACATGTCTGGATATTATCAATAGACGCCATGACTATAGTGGATCGGACGATGAATCTGGTGACGATACATTCCTTCCCTCATCCTTCTTCCAATCTCACCAGACGAGACTGAATAGCATGAAGGACGCCCGTGCAATCGAGGAAGGGCCTGATGGAAGTTTTACTGGTAGGAGCCTCAATGGAGACTCCGTTAGCTCCATAACAACACCAATGATGGCCATCCCAGCAACACGACGCATAGGCGACTCTGAAAATAGGAGATCTGCAGTTTTGGAAATAGATGCGCCTCAGCTTGGCAGACCAAGCTCTTCTCGCTCCTTAAAAGCACTATCGTTGAGTCGACCGTTGTCTTCGGGCCAGAAGGCGAACCAACCAAAGCATAACTTTCTAGGCCGTTTTAGGTCAACAGCAGCAGAACGACCACCATTCCACAGTAACTCAGCCGCGGATGAGATAAAAAAACGATCAAGACTTCCGGCATTGCACGACGACAACATCATTGACCCGGACTTAGCTCCTTACATGTCAGACGATGAATCGAGCGGAGACGAGCAAATGAGTATATTCACTGCTTTGAATGGCAATTCTGGTATTAGTACCAGCTATGAAAACGAAAAGTCTGCTTTTGGGTCACTCCCGAATGCTACAAAGAAACACCGATCCCGTGCCGGTGAAAAAAGTATTAGTGGCTTGAGTTTTAGTGGACGACCTATTGAGGATAACAGCTGGGCCGGCTCCGTTAGCCATGGCCGATCTAATCGAAGACGAAATCTGAGTACTTCAAGCAATGTCCACATTGCCCGCGGATCCCCAAGGCAGAACAAGCCTGGAGCTCTCACGTACAACTACGGCGAACTCAGCGAAGAAACTATTATTCCAAGAGACGATCCACTGGAACCGTCGTCTTACGGCGCTTCTAAGATGACCCGCAGTGCATCAATGAGGAACGCCAAAGCTCCAGCAGTGGAATTGAACAATGCAAGCCTTCACCATGTCCGGCGCCTCTTACGACAATTACTTCAAGACGCCTGCGTGGAAAATGTTGCATCATGGGAAAAGGCGTTAATTCCAATCCTGCTACAATGTACTGACGACGTCAATCCGGATGTACGCCGTGGGGATGATATTGATATCAGGCATTACGTCAAGTTGAAAAAAATACCAGGGGGAAAGCCTGGGGATACCTCCTACGTCTCGGGAGTTGTTTTCACTAAAAATCTTGCGTTGAAGAGCATGGCACGTAGTATATCACAGCCACGGATAGTGATTATCTCATTCCCCATTGAATACCAGCGACATCAGCAGCATTTCATGAGCCTTGAACCTGTCATAGCGCAGGAGAAAGACTTTCTGAAGAATATGGTGAATCGAATTGCCTCTCTTCGCCCTCACGTTGTGCTTATCCAGAGTCATATCTCTGGCCTGGCTCTTCAATACCTTGCGGAGGCTAACATTGCCGTTGCCTACAATGTCAAACAATCGGTTATTGAGGCCGTTTCGAGATTCGCTCATACTGAAATCATCTCATCCATCGATATGGTTGCACTTAAACCTGTTCATGTTGGCAAGAGTGCAGGGTTTGATGTCAAAACATACGTACATAATGATATTCCGGGCACCAGAAAGACTTGCATATATATATCGGGATGTCCCAAGGATCTCGGCTGCACCATTGTTCTTCGTGGTGCAAGTATGGCTGTTCTTTCTACAATGAAGCGAATTACAGAGTTTATGGTCTATGTAGTATACAACTTGAAGCTGGAGACTTGTCTCATGCGAGATGAGTTTGTTCTCATACCTGCAATCACAGAAGACTACGGGACTCTTGCTCTTGGCAGCAAAAGCGTGCCTGAAAAGACCGACTCAGGCAATTCTTCTGTGGAACCTGTTCAAAAATCTGTACAGGATACCGGCAAAGAGAGCGACAGTACGAAGTCTCTCGACGGGGCGGCAACCGGGCACAATGAAAGTCAAGGGTCTCCTGGGGAACTCGGAGACAATGATCCGCAACTAAGTTTCCCACAAGCCACTATTAATACCACTGCGGAAACGCCAACGCAAGGCAGTCGCCCAGATGTGCAACCAAAGCCCATCTCGACTCATGAGTCGCATGTTCATGAAATTCAGGTGTTGCCCGAAGATATTCCAATGCCGACTTTCTATAGCGACATGGTTGCGAAACATCAAACAAAAATACTCTCAGCCTCTCCGTTTGTGAAGTTTACGCAGCCCTATCTTCTCATGAATGCTCGGGAACAGGAACGCCGTCTAGTCTATCTTAAGCGGCTCCGTGACCAAGACACGTTTGAGGATCAAACGGACGTGGAGAAAGCCAACCCACAGCGATTTCAGTTGATTCATCCTGAAATGGTCCATGAAACGGTTAGGGGGGCCCCCAGGCAGATAATGGAGGTTCTTCATGCAGTGCATGATGCAGAGTATGATAAAGCTCTTCACAATTATCAAACACAAAAGCGACAATGGGAGAACTATATCCAGGGCAACCTGAATCTGTTCGACCCTTATAGCCACCAGAACATTGTTGTTCTTTACACTGTTGTTTGTACAGCCACGACGGTGCCATGTGCTGGACCCGATTTAACTGCCATGGCTTTCTATAATGAACACGAGACGTCCCACGATTTCTTCCCCGACTGCACATTGGGGCAGTACGTTGAAGACCTATGCCTTACAGTAGACGCAGTCTGTGCTTCCAATGGCTGCGAACGCAAGATGTCAGAGCACCATAGGACGTATGTGCATGGCGAAGCCAGAATTACCGTCTTCGTTGAAGCATCACCATGTAAGCTCAATGGATTGCAAGATTCAATATTGATGTGGAGCTATTGCAAAATTTGCAAAAAGGAGACTCAGGTCATGCCAATGTCAGAGAGCACCTGGAAGTATTCCTTTGGCAAATACCTAGAACTGTCTTTCTGGAGCACCGAGCTTAGACTTCGTGCCGGGTTTTGTCCTCATGACCTTCATCGAAACCATTTGCGATATTTTGGTTTCCGCAATGCCACCATGCGAATACACTACGATCCAATCGATTTACTCGAGATCGTCGTCCCACGAACCAGGATTACATGGAAAGTTGACAACGACTTGAGACTGAAGAATGACTTATTCACAAAAACTGAGGACAGGTGGAATCGCTTCATGGCATCAGTCAAATCCCGTATTAAAGGGATCAATATCGACAGCGTCGTTAGCGACAAAGTTGAGGCCTGTATGGCTGAGGTTGAAACCCTTTCTAAGAGGGCACAAGACGAACATGCATCATTATTAAATAAACTACAGGAGAAGTATATGGAGTCCAAGTATTACGAGATAATCCCCATGAACCGGGCCATCCGTGCTATGCAAGAAAGAGTTGCGGAGTGGGATACGGCGTTTACTGATTTTGATCGAAACTTTTTCCCATCCGAGAAGGATATCAGGCGTCTTGCCGCCCTTCAACTGAAGAATTTATTTCTCGACCGCGATGCATCCGCGACTCCGAACGAAACGCCTGATCAATCACAGGATATTTACGAGAGGCAATCTGACGAGGGGCAGTCCGGCAAAGTCGCCAACTCGGTTCACGACAATAATGATATGCCTCCCACTGAACTTCAAGGAACGCTCGCTCCACTTGTCGAGGAGGAAGCTTCTATAGACGATGCAGCCCTCAAAGTTCCGGGCTCACAAGGCACCGAAGTACTGAATGCGACTAAAAGTCAAGATACTGTACACCACCTTGATCTTGCAATTCCGTGGGTTGCGACAAGTGATGATGCCCCAGCAGTCAACTCCTCCGCCGACCAAGCTGGTTCGCCTTTGCCAAGTTCTGAAAGCAAACCCGTTACTATCTCTGACAACACATTGGCATCCCGGCTAGAACTACATATTTCAGAGGCAGACCTTCCAAAAACTCCGCAGCAGGTGCGGAAAGAAAGTCAAGCAGACCTGCGTGAAGGGGCAACTACCAACCCGGAGCCGTCTGGTATCCCGAGGCCAAGCGATCGAAACGCCGGTCGGCGCAGCGGACTTGCTGTATCACCCCCAATACTCCGCACTCAGTCACAGCCGGCGGTAACACTGCGGCGCACGCAACCTGCGACATTGAGAGCATTCAACATCGCAGCTAAAGAAAAGGCCAACGCGGTCGGCATTCCTCCCGACTCGACAATTCCTCTAGGTGCTTTCTCTGGCGAGCAACCAAAAGACAAACGGCTCTCTGATAGATTGGGTTTGGGGTCCCTTAAAAGCAGCAGAAAGCCCGGGCACTCTTTGATTCCTCGGTCTATCCATAGCAAGGGAAGAGAAACTAAGGTATCTACGTTAGCCAAACATTTTGAACAGCTCAGTCGAGAATTTGAGAAGGAGCGCCTGCGTGACAAGAAGCAACGCGCAGCGAAGGTCACGCAATCTAGGGCGTTCCCCAAGGCATCGTCGAAACCTATCGTCGAAGTCTACAAGGATGTCAACGAGGCAGTTGAAGAGCGCGGCCCTTCTGAAGAGGGTTTGCGACCTAGAAATCAGTCTTCATCCAATATCGAGTTGACAGGCCCAACAGATGGCATTTCGAATGCGAACACTAAATCAAAACTGGATGCTCATAATATCCCGGCCCAGATAGATACTTCTGTCGCGGGCGAAGACACGGTAACAGAAGTAGAAACAGATGACAACCAGCAAACCCTGAGTCAGACAGCTTCAGATGATGAGGCCGCTGCGAGCGACACAGAGCATTCATTTTTAGAAGATATGCCAAGTATTAAAGACATCACAGAATCTTTAGAGGTTTCCGAAACAATCTCAGATGTGGACTTACCAAAGCACGAAAAAACAAGCCTCATGAAGATGCTGACCAACTTCTGGGCAGAACGATCAGCAAGTGGCTGGACTCAACTAGAATATCCGTTGCATGCCACAGACCATGTTTTCGTCGACTCGGATGTCATTGTCAGGGAGGATGAGCCTAGTTCTCTCATTGCCTTTTCGTTGAGTTCACAGGATTACATTGAAAAATTACATGCGATCCGGCAGCAAGGCCAAACAAACATGCCGGAGAGGACATCCGGACAGGAGCGTTATAACTCCGCAGAGGCTGACGTCGAGACGTCGCTGCTCAGGGCAACGGGAACGCATTTGAAGTACCAATTCGCTGAAGGGTCTGCTAAGATGCTGTGCAAGATTTTCTATGCTGAACAATTCGATGCTGTCCGCCGTAAATGTGGCGCGTCTGATAGGATAGTAGAGTCACTATCACGATGCTTGAAGTGGGATTCAAAGGGCGGCAAGACTAAGTCTGTCTTTTTGAAAACACTCGACGAGAGACTCGTTCTGAAATCGTTGTCCCCTGTTGAGACTCAAGCATTCTTGAGGTTTGCTCCTGCATACTTCAATATCATGGCCGAGGCACTATTCCATGAGCTGCCCAGTGTTATTGCCAAGATGCTAGGGTTCTATCAGATTATCATCAAGAACCCTGTCACTGGGACTGAGATAAAATGGGATGTGCTAGTCATGGAGAATCTATTTTACGACCGCGCCCCTACTCGGATATTCGACCTAAAAGGCTCTATGCGCAATCGCAAGATCCAGTCTACGGGTGAGCAAAATGAAGTTCTTCTCGACGAAAACATGGTGGAATTTATTTACGAGTCACCCCTTTTTGCCCGTGAGCACTCCAAGAAGTTACTAAAAGCATCCGTGTGGAATGACACGCTATTCTTAGCAAGGCAGGATGTAATGGATTATTCCTTGATGGTGGCTGTTGATGAAGCGAGGAAAGAGCTTGTGGTGGGAATTATCGATTGCATCAGAACTTACACGTGGGACAAGAAGCTTGAGTCGTGGATCAAAGACCGCGGTTTTGCCGGCGGTGGCAGAAATAGGCCCACCGTAACAAGTCCGAAGGAGTATAAGAGCCGTTTCCGAGAAGCAATGGACAGATACGTGCTACAGGCGCCAAAGTAAGTAAGCTGGTTGAACGTCGTTTTTAGTAGAATTGTGTTAGCTAACAGGGTTATTAGTTGCTGGCATCACTTCGGCGGTTATGATGGGAGGGCATCGAAATAGAACCAGTCCCAGAATTACATGTTACGATATCGAGATGCACCGAGGCTGAGCTAGGTCACTTGAACTTCCAATCCATAAAACCTTCTGAAATCACAGTGGGCAACAGAAAAATGGCTGCAAGAAAGGGGTTTACCCAGTCTCAGGAGGAAATCTTTGGAGGTGAAGGGTGTATAAGAGACCAATTGGTGCTTGCATGCGGCTGATGATTAAATACCCCCATCTCTAGATTAATTTGATAGATAATCATTCGAATTTTCCATGGACGACTTCAACTATGAGATCTAATCTACGATATGCAAACTAGGTCTCGCTGGTTCCATTGAGACCTGTACACTGTGGCTGGGTAGAGAATCGGTCTTATTATAGGACTCACGGTTCGCATCGTCAACAACGCCCCTTCCTCTTTCGCTAAAGGAGAACGGGCCACACAAGAATCTCAAAATACAATCTTATTTGGTTACGTTCTTCTCTGCAACTTTGGCTAATTTCTATCTGGCAGCTATAAACTACATCTGCAATCTCTCATTGCTCGCCTCCAAACTTCCCAACCATTTTTGATCGAACGCAGAATTGTATGCACTACCCCGAACGCCGTATCTACCCCTGGCACTTTCCACCCCGCACCGCAGCAGCGTGTTCAGAGGCAGTGAGGAGGTGTGATTAGGAATACTAACTTCGCAGCCTTGATGATTATCATGTAACCCAAAAAACTTGGGCCAATGAATGCCTGGGGTAATTCGGCATCTTGCTCTTGATTTCTGAAGAGGCATATTACCCCTCCATAAACTGATGATGGTAACCCCGGAAAGGGTCCGCGGGGTTGTTAAACCCCAGAGGCAAATCTCCAGCGCAGACAAACCCTGTATGGTTCGATAACCCTAGATCGGGTGCGCTGGACCCGCAACCTACTCGATAAATTGAGATTGGAGTGTAAGTTATTGATGGGCGCATCAGTTGTTTGGTGCAATGGCACGATGTATGTTGTAATGGAGATGGGGTTCATGTGTGAACGCCACGAGGGTCTCGAAAATGAGCCCCTAATTATGCCTGCCGGTCCCCACTATACACTTTGAGGGTTAAAGTTTGCAGGCTACATCGAATTAGCTATGATATTACTTGTTACGGTGGGAGGCGGGGCCACAGTATTACTGGGCGTGGATATACAACGTACCGGACTGTTGAATGTGCTATTGCGCTTGTTTCTTCCTTTCTTAATGTGGCTTTTCAGCGCACTAGAGTCGAGAGGCTTAAGAAGCTCAAAGCTACAAAGAAGTTCGCTGGAGACACTCATGACGGCGCCCCAGTTGTCAAACTCGCCGCAGTACTGAGGATACAAATTAGCAATCGACACGGACACTGTGGCAATCGGGAAAAAGCTCACATTTGGCGCACTGAAAACAGTAACCAATACGCGGTCATTGAAGAATTCATAACCATCCTCAACCACCATATGTGCCCGGCAAACCAAGTCAAAGTTATGCCTTTCCAAGAATTGCGTGATAACATTCTTTCCGAAGCAATAGCTGACACCCCGCTCATTGGCTTCCCAATCGGCCTCCATATCAGCGGGGTCGGACCAGAGCAAGTCGTTGAGCAACCCGTAGTCAGGCACATCTGTTGGCCTCGCAATATTGCGGATGTCATCCATGTGACTCAGAGACGGAGAGAGGCCACCGTGGACACAGAATATCTTCTCTGCCACAATAGCTGCGATTGGCAGAGTGTTGAAGGTGTCAACAAATGTTTTCCAAATCTTAATATTGCATCGGCGCTTGCACTCGTCATAGAACCCATACACTCGAGTTACATTGGCACACTCATGGTTGCCCCTGAGTAGAAAAAAGTTCTCGGGGTACCTCAACTTATAGCACAGCAACAATAAAATGGTTTCCAACGACTGTTTCCCACGATCAACGTAGTCGCCGAGGAACAGGAAATTAGAGCTTGGTGGAGATCCACTCATTTCGAAAAGGCGGATCAGGTCAGGGTACTGCCCGTGTATATCTCCTACAATCTTGACCGGAGCATCGAGCTCGAGAAGTGCTGGTTGAGATAGGAAGACCTCGCGGGCAGCCACACAAATAGCCGTAATTTCAGCATTTTTGAGGCAGACTCCTTTGGTGACCTTTCCTGCATAAGCAGCATCTATCAACCGAGTTATGCAATCGTCAATATCAATCGACTTGGGATCCATCCCCATGCCTTGGTTCGATGTCTCTTCGGCAGCGGCAATCAAATCATCAATATTGGTAGTGTTGATTGAGTTTTCTTTCTTGACCAGAATCGATTTTCCAGCCCGTTGCCCATGTGGGTGGGTGTTCAGAGTTCCTGACGCCGGCTGGTCAGAAACAACATCGACCTCGCCGCTTTGCTGCGCAGCAGCTACTCCTTCATGGGTTCCAGATGTCATAGACGCAGATTGGATTGGCGATGGGGGAGGTTGCATAGCATCCGATGCATAGTTTCCCGTATCAACGGACGCGAGTGGCGAGCGGTCCTCGGAGCGGCTCGTTCGGGAGCGCCCACTTCTCCCGGACATAACAGATCCGGTATCATTGTCATTGTCCCCATTTGAGAGGCCCGAGTATGATTCGCGAGAGCTGTCGGTCTTCGAGGTGCCTGGTATTTTCGATCTACTGTAATTAGTGCCAAGTCGTCTCTGTGTACGTAGGTGGGACCTACCTTAGTGCCTTGAATGATCGCGTGCTCCCCACAGTATCGGACTTTGAGAACGATGGCTGGGAAGTAATCGCAAGTCCACCCTTGTCTAGTGATGTCGAGGAGGAAGTCTTTCGAGGTGCGGAAGTTCCGGGACCAGACTTTGACGGTTGGTTACCCATGTCGCAAGAGCCTTACCCCAGGGATTCGGCGTAGCAACTGCGGGCGCTTCTGGAAGCCCTTGGCTTGAAGGTGGGTTCCAGGTTGGGCAATAGGTCCTTGGAGGCAAGGCCTATGGTCGTGGGGGATGGGTAGCCCAACACTTACTACTATAGCGATAAGAAATACAAACGGTACAAGCGGCCTCGGAGTTCCACGGATCAGGTCAGGCCAGGCAGTGTCGGTTTTCCGATGTGCTGTGATGGCTGTGGAGCAACGTAGCTGAGGGATATGGTGCCGGACAACGGGTCGCTTGGTTGCGCAGGTGTCTAGAATGCCTCGGAGTCAGTACTGCTAGGGTTGGCATCCTTGGCCCAAGATTGAACCATGGAAGGATAATACGATGAGAGACGGGGCATAACTGACTGGCGATAGCTGATAGAGAATGCTGGCGGTTTGATGGATTGCGACAACAGACGTACGTATATGCAGGGTCAAAGTTTGGCCTTGGTGTCTCACAAGGTGGTAAGATTGCCAGCGTTGTGGAAGGCGTTTCTGCAGTGATTGATCACAGATAGTTGTCGCCGGAGTAGAGTAGTTGCGTTTTGACAACAGTCTCCAATTCAGTGATGTTTGTTGATGATCATCGTCAAGGCGGGCGAATGGTCAGGGTGACATAAGCGAGTAAGGCTTAGTTAGTTAGTTAACTAGTTAAATCTCGGGCCTAGATCCGCTTGTATGCGCTCTACGGAACGGACTACTGCACCTACAGATAACTGCACCTACAGACTACTGCACCTACAGTGCTTGCATATAACAGCTTTTCAAAACAAATCAAAGCGATGGCGCTGGAGAGAAGACCAGTCAGATATCGCAGTGTTGCGCATTTCAAAGTTATGACCACAGTAGCGTTGGAACAGTCGGCGACAAAATGCTCGAGACAATTTCCATTGTGAAGCTGTCTTGGAAAAAGACTCCATCTACAAAAAGGTATCATCTATCCAGCTTCCTCTAGCATGGAGATATTTCGTCATAACATCATTGCTTCAAATCCTGCCCCACCAGTTTACTACCAGCAGAGTTCCCAAACGCCATGCAATGCCGCCTTAGCAAACAAGCAGTGAAAATTAACAAAAAAGATGAAGATGTAGGTTTAGACAGCATGGTGTGAGTATGGCTCATACGCTTGTGCGCGATCAGCCGCCTTGACGTTGTGCATTGGGATTGCATGCTGTTGCTGGTTGTAGACACCCGACTGCTGGCCCATGTATGGCGAACCCTGGTATGGGTCGCGGACGGGTTGGTAGTTTGTTGTGTCGAGGAGCTTCTCCGAGTCACCTGCACGGCTATGGCGGTTGTCCTTTTTCGCATTGGCGCAGCAACAGACCGAGAACAGCCAAAAGAGGCCAGAGGCGACAGAGGCAGCTGCACCGATCCAGATGACGACGAGCCACGCAGTGTTGATTGAGCTCTCAACACCGTAGTGCTTCACGGATGCGGTGAGGGCCCCAACGACAACACTAGACGTCACCGTTGCCAATGTTGCGAAACCAATGATGGCAAGGCATGAGATGCCACTGATTATCCAGGTGCAGCAGGAACCAATCCTCGAGAAGAAGCCGGCGATCCCAACCAATACTGTGAGGGCGGTCGTAACGCAAGCGATAATATACACAACCTCAGTCCACTTGACCAAGGTCGCGAAAGTCTTTAATCCCGTCTTCACTGCGTCGGGAATAGTAACGGATATTTGGGCACCTGAAGTGAGCTTCTCGAGTTTGGTCGTGTCCGTGAAGTTGGAAGCGTAGTCGAATGTCGGTTTACTCTTGGTGGTCACATCGCCCACGAGCTCGGCATAGTTCCACAGGAAGAAGTCGTACTTGTCGCCGAGGCCCAGCTTAGAAGCTGTGAGAGAGAGAGAGGTCACAGCGGGAACATCGCTCGAATCGACACCGGGAATCTTGTCGGCGACATCCTTGACCTTCTGTTTGAAATCCAAGTTTTGAAACTGTTCAGTAGTTACGCTGAGGTTCTTCGGTGCGACCTCGAAAAGGTGCAGATTTGAGCTTGTGACACCAGCGAGGCCAACGATGAGAAGACAGACGAGGGAGATGGTCGTTAGAATAAATGGTAGCGCAACACAGAAGAATCTCCCAACGCCCATCTTGGGATAGATTTCCGTTCAACCGAGGGGGTAGTGTAGGTGGATAGATTTCCGTTCAACCGACGGGGTAGTGTAGGTGGATAGGTGCAGAACAGGTAAAGGTCGGTGATGGTGATGGTGATGGTGATGGTGATGGTGATGGTGATGGTGATGGTGATGGTGGTAATGAGAGTAAATGATGACTATGGGATGCAAGCATATTATATTGAGAAGTGCACAGTAAGATTGCGAGTACCATGACCGTGAGGGTGGAGAGTGGAGGGCGGTGGGTGGCTGACGCATGGAGAACTCAGCCCCCGAAAACCGCGCCCCTGTGGCCCCATAGACAACAACTGGAGACAACAACTGGAGACAACAACTGGAGACAACAACGGAGACAACAATTGGGGCTGAAATACGTACAGTAGTTTGAAGTATGTACGTACAGTTTGAGGGATTTGAAGGATGGAAGTTATTCTCGCCAACAGACCAGCCACCAACAAAAATCACTCTCAAATACTTCATTTGAAGCCTGGAAGATACTCTACAGCATACCCATCACAAACAGTACTATCCTGTACATATCAGAGCAAAAGAAAGTAATGGTTGATATTTACAGATTTACAAAATACTCTATCTAGATAGAGCGCTGTGTGTTCCTTCACTGCCTTCACTGCCCCCCCCCCCCCCCCAAACCAATCTAAATATAGACAACTCTCCAGCCCCATCGCCATTTGCCCGAAACCACGAACCACAAACTCCACGTCTCTCTCCCGAATGTTGGTCTCCTGCCATTGTTCTGTGGTACGTGCTAAACTGCAGTTGACGTGGCTTTGAGGCTGAATCCTTCAAAACCACCACTTGTCGTTCAGCCTATCCAACGCATCCTATCCGCGCCCACGCGTATTCCTCAAGGCAGGTCGTGCTCGCTTGGGCCCTTGTTGGGAGCCTCGGTCGATATAATCTTCGTCATCATCGCTCGCGCGTTTCCCTTTGGTCATTGTTGCAAACCATTCCGCATAATCCCCAAATACATCATCTGGTTCGTCGTCCCCATTTTCGATCGTGTTCTCTAGAGGTTCCTTTCTCTGTTGCTTTGCCGACTTCCTCTCAGCTTTAGAAGACGCAACACCCTCCTTCAACTTCTCGATGCCTTTGAACTCTTTGCCATAGTCAAAAAACAACTCCTCTCCTGCCTCCATGCTTTTGGCTGCATAAAACCCAATGCGGTGCTCAGAATTGACTAGCAGGACTTTAGCCCGGCAATTTTTGCGTACTTCAGAGTGGTTAATAAAACTATAATAGTTGTTAGTAGGTGCAATGGATGCCAGTGAAAACTGGATATGAGACGCACCGAGTAGCATTGCCAAACCACATAGCGTCTATAGTCACTTCCGCGTTTAAAGCAAAGTTGTATGAATTTCCTACCCTTTGCACAAGGGCATCTCTCCGGTCAACCTCGGCTTCGTCAATAATCTCTCCGACATACTCGGCAATGAAATCGCCCTCTTGAACAGGCTCGCTATGTATTTGTTAGAGCAAGCCATATGTCACCAGGAGAAGCAAACTTACGCCAAGTATAACCCATTCCCAATACCCTCGATAGAGCTCTCTCCCACCACAACCTTCTTCCCCTGGCCGCGTTGGATTTCGCAGTTGTGGCAATTGGTATTCGAGATTGGACCTTGAGATCTGACTGATTCGGCGGCGTTGCATCCGTGGCAGAGATCCGGGTCGCATTCTCGGTTGAGCTTGTAGCAGAGGCATTTTTGGAGGATGCATGGTTCGGTACAGGTGCATCCGCGGTATCGTGCATCGCAGCTCTGTGGGCATGTGCAGAATTTATCACAACAAATCTTGTTGCTCACGCAGGTGCACTTCTCCCCAGCAACGAAGCAATTTTGCCCTGGGTGGTGACATGGCCTAGGCTGAGGACGCTCGTCATGCTTATGCTCTACCTCCAAGTCACGCCAATCAAATTTCTTGGATCTTCTACCGTCACCATTTACCATATCGTCGAGTTCAATGCCCTGGTTACTCAGCTTCTTAAGATGACAATAAACTTCTGAGCATGGCTTGCCCAACATGGGTGCCATTAAGCAAGATGCCCTCCGGATTTTGCGTGTTTCTGGAGAAGCAGCGAGGACCTGCATAGATTCGTGGTCTTCTTTCGTCCAGTTTCCTTCGCTGACCAATTCTGCATTGTATGGGTTCAGGCGGCATGACGCGGAACAATAGTACCGTCGGCTTTGTTCGCTAAAATCGCTGTCATCTTCACTTTCGTTTTCGCTGGAGTTTGCTCCTCTATAATAAGCCCGCATGCGTGTATGTGGCATGCTATAGGGCTGGTACATAGTGCTAGACCGGTTACTCGGATTTTCTTCGTCCGTTGTGTAGTCGCTGTCATTCACGTCGCTGTCGTTTTCATCAAATTTCCCATGGATGTGGCACTGAGTTACACAAAAGGCTCAGCAGGCTATACTATAAAAAGGGGGGGACAAAACTTACCTGATGGGCAGAACAAATTAAGCAACTTTCTCGAGAGTATCTTTCCAACGTCTTTGCTAGTGGATCTAGAGAAACTGTGGGGCTTTTCAGTAGTTTGGCTGCGTGGGTTTCAAGGTCAAAAAATGATCCCAATGGTATTCCAAATGCCTTTTCAACATGATAACTTGGATGATTCGCATCTTTATGGGCGAAGGTTTCATACAGGCCCTCTTTCTCAAGATAATTCCTGCAATCCTGGTAGGCCGACCTTATTTGTGGTAAATATTCCCTAATACTCGAGAGCTTTTCTCTTCCTCGGCTTTGATTAGCAAGTTTGGCACACGATAGCATCGACTTGAGAAGAGCAGCTTCCACATCTGCTTCTGAGTTAGAATTCTTGTCTAGGACAGCCGGTTCAGGCGGCAGCTACATTGATATTAGCGGGTCGCCATGGGCCCTCATAGGAATAACTCACTCGTGTGTTGTTCGCCAGTCGACTCCGATCTATTTCGACGTAGTAATTGTATCTCGGCACTGCCCTTTCTGGAGTTTGTATGATACTCTTCCCCTGCAAGAATGTTTGTGGGCGTGTTTTTTTGGCGACCTATTTAATGAAGTCAGACGTTGCGTCCCTAGCATGTAGTGGATCACGTACATGGTGAATAATAGCAATGGATGAAGCAAAAGCCCCGCCCTGCTGGAGATGTTCCAGGCTCTGCAGGGAGTAAATATGGTGTGTGGTGCTGGTTAATTTAGGTTGAAGTTGGGATTGGGCATCTCGGAGGGCCTGCGATGTTTGTGAAGCTTGATCCTTCTCTATTTCTTGATAAATCTCTCCCAATATTCTATCTAACACTTCATAGCAGGAATCCTCGCCTGCAGGATGTCCCTGACCTATCCCCAAAATCAGCAGGGGAACACCAAAATCGTGGCCGAAAGTAAAGATATAGACAATAAATATAGACCGTATGCATGGTCCTACGCCCAAATTAAACTCACCTGACGAGAAGCTTTGCAAAGACATAGCCGTTCCTAGAGACACCATCAGAGCGTCATGAGGGCTATTAATATCTACTAACTCCGATTTCGTAGACTCCGGGTTGCCATCTTCTCTTGGTTCATAAGCTGGCTGTATTGGAGGAATACGTGGAAGATCCCTTTTCTTCGCTAAAAAGTGGTCAGAAAGTCTTACAGGACCAAGTTGCACTGTTTGAAAGGGCGAATTGGGCATATAGTCGACTTACCCCGGTAATCCAACAACTCGGTGACTTCGTCATCTGAGATTACGATGACTTCAGACTGAGCTGTGGGAGAGTCTGGAATTTCGATGACTTCCCGTTCAGCTGTGGTAGGGGGCATGATGGTGATCTACGTCTGTGCCACAACAAAGCTATGCTCAGGTCTTGGCAGTTTTGTATGGTCTTAAGGGTTAGCAATGAGATCCAGAATTATAACTTCATCGTCTAACATAGTGAGTGCTCCAAGAAGTTTCAACAGAAAATAATTTATACCTGTTATAAATTCATAAATTTGAAAGTATGTACTGTTCAATCTTTGGTGTTGTGCATAATAACTGCCATGTGTGGCGTATCTAGACATAGCGGAGCACGGACCATGCAATGTACCTTGTTGGCTATTACGGGGACCGATAGTTCACAATACGTCGTCGTCGTCGTCGTCGTCGTCGTCGTTTCAGGGTCTCACTCTGACATCAACCCTTTGAAATCAAGTCAAAATCAAATCAATCCAAAACTTACAAGTTCAAATTAACTATTAAAACTAATTCTGCCAGTATGGCCGATCAGACTTCATCAACTGTTGACGAGACCCCAATTTCTCCCGTTCGGGAGGCACGCGTCCGACAGAACTCCCTCGAGAAGCACCTCCAACATAGGCCTGAGCAACAAGAGCTCAAGGACCGACACATTCTTCTCGATACAAACGCTGCTCCGTGAGCACATCACACCCGTCTTCTCTTCTGATGCGAGTATATGGGGAGCTAATTATTGGGATCATCCAGGTCGCTTCAGTCAGCTGCGATTGACCTCGAGCACAAGCTGGCAGCAAAAAACTTGAAGAAAGACCTCGAAAAGAGAAGTCAACGCGAGACTTTGGTTGAGCGTAAGATATATTTTAGACTCGGTATGCTACCAGTTATCAAGCCCCTAACTCTTCCCAGGAAACATTCTCCCTGAATCGAACGCTGCCCCCGCTCTCGTTGCTCATCAGAGGGACCTTGCAAAGCACATGCGTAAAGACAGTTTGCACGACAAGCTATCGCATCGACCAACCGCTGAAGAGCTTATCAAAGGAGGTGTGCTCCATGAAGACCCTACCTCTGTGGATGAACTGTATACGGAGAGGATTGAGGAAGAATATGCCAAACGCGAGGGCGGCGCTTGATTACAGAGCATGGCTGAGACGAAGGTACCAGATGAAGCCAAGGATCTGATGAAACAGAATGATAGCTTAGTCTCCCAAATTAAATTCTTTCGTCTTCTTGACCTCTATATATGCTGTGGTAGAAGGTAGCCATTCATTACTCCAATAAATTATTGGTGGGATACTTCAGCAGCTGGGCCTTGTCTTCTCACACTCGCCCCCATTGTTAGCTTCGAGATGAGGGGTATCTAGCACGTGACTTCGCGTAAGGTGGTGTTCTGTTGAGGGAAAGAGAATGGGAGCTTTTCCCCAGTGCAATCGTCGGGCTCCCCGATTGGCGCTTGGCGTGAGCAGATTGCCTCAGAACTCCGGCGCATTGGGTTTCAGGCCCAAATCCTTCTGTTACTCAGGGCATTTGGGTAGGCCCTCCGAAAAGACATAAATAATACGTAGGCTCCATAGGTAGTGTAGTAATTCAATTGATCTATTCATTCTATATACTGTAGTCTATTGTCGAGTTTTCCTGCCCGTTGCGCAAAAGCCCAAAGGTCCGGTCACCAAACACACCGCACGATTTGCGCGCGGTCGCGATATTTCGGGCCTTCCACCAACATGTTCATGTCGCGTCCAGATTGGCCTTCAATTCGTATCATCTCAGTGTCGATGCGGGTTTCTCAGCTGCTTTAGCCATGTCATTATATGGGCAGCTTAAATAACTACTGTAATCCCCTCGCCATTAGCACGAGACTGTCGGTGTGACCAAAGTAGAGATTTGCAATGACAGCAAACCCGAATACTTTGGAACACTATGACCAAGAGACGAATTTACACGATACCTTAAAATACTCTCTTTTGGGTCCTTCGTTGACCAAATCAGGACAAGATTCTGTGGACCAGAAGAAGGTATGATTGACTGGCTACCCAAGAAGGCCATTGACTAAAAGGCTTCCAGGTTTCGGATATTATTTACGATGCCAGTAAAGGATCTAAATTCTTCGCCCATGAAGAGAACAGGGATAAGCTTCTCACCGTAAAGATCGAAAAGATATTAGAGAACAAAGCTCGTCTGGAAAAACTAAACCTCACGAGGGATCAGAAGAAAGCGGACGAATATGTCACCGAGCTTGAACTCTCCCGAGACCTCTCACAGACAATAGTTCATGTAGACTGCGACGCATTCTATGCGGCAGTCGAAGAACTAGACCGCCCAGAATTAAAACAGGTCCCCTTTGCTGTGGGTAAAGGGGTGCTCACGACCTGTAATTACCATGCTCGAAAGTTTGGATGCAGGAGTGGGATGGCTGGATTCGTGGCCAGAAAACTTTGTCCTGAGTTGATCCAACTACCTTTAAATTTCGAGAAATACACTGCCAAAGCTCGGGAGGTTCGTGAGATTATTGCCCGCTACGACCCAAGATTCGAGAGCGCCAGCATTGACGAGGCATACCTGAACATCACGACTTATTGTGAGTCTAACAATATCGGTCCGGACGAGGCTGTGGAGCAGCTCCGTCAGGAGGTCCATGAAAAAACCAAAATCACTATATCGGCAGGGATAGCCGCAAACACAAAGCTTGCAAAGATATGCTCAAACATGAATAAGCCGAATGGCCAATATAGGCTCCAGAATAACCGAGGGGCAATTATTGCGTTTATGAACACCCTGCCAACAAGGAAAGTGAATGGTGTTGGACGAGTCTTTGAACGTGAACTAGACGCCGTAGGGGTCAAGACTTGTGGTGACATCTATCAATACCGACAGTACCTCTCCAGGCTATTCGGCGAGAAAGCGTTCAGCTTTCTTATACATTGTTACCTTGGACTTGGGAGGACCGATACGCAACCAGCTGAAGAATATGAGCGAAAAAGTGTTGGTACAGAGAGCACTTTTGGGGACCTTAGCAGTCACAAAGGTCTCCGTGACAAGTTAGAAAAAACAGCACAAGATCTCGAAAAGGACATGGTAAAGGCCCAAGTCAAGGGAAGAACACTGGTGCTCAAGGTCAAGCTCCATACGTACGAGGTATTGACGCGACAGATAATACCACCGAAAGCGGTTTACCTTGCCCCAGATCTATATAAATACTCTCTTCCGATGCTATCGAAATTGGAACAAGAATTCAAGGGTCTCGCCCTGCGACTTATGGGCCTCAGGTGTACACATCTTGTCAGTATGAAGAAGCCGGACTCTTTGGCGTTCTTTGGACACCCCAAAATGCGCAACAGTCCTGTCTCGAGTGGACCTGCTTCCGGGACAAATGAGTCAAAGGAGGAACCGTTGGAAGCAGATGGTAATTCGTCTTTGGGAGCGTGGCCAAGTGAGGACTTTGAAGAAGCTGCAAAGGATGAATACCAAGAGGAGCTGGAGGAACTGGAGATTCTTAGCCAACTGGAAGAGCTCGGGAATCAGCAACCTAGTGACGGGTCATTAGGCACCGAAACCAGGCCGGAGTCGGAGGATAGGTGGTGGGACTGCCCAATATGCCTACGGCCACAGATGGGGGATTGTAATGAGCATATCGACATGTGCTTATCTCGGCCGACCATCTTAGGTTTGGTGAAGGAGGCCGCCCGAGAAGCTTCGTCTGCTTCGGCCTCGGCAGAGAAGTGGAAAGGACACTCAAAGCGCGGGCGACAGGATAGTGGGAAGTCTCGTACTGGATTAAAAGACGATCCTAAACAGACCAGACTGTCCTTTAATTAAAGCGCTTTACCTATATGAATGTCTTCCAATGCATAGAGACATAAATCGTCATGTATACACATGCCTCGGTGAACTTGCTTTTTGAAGAGTTCAAACGGGAGGGTACATAATCAGTTGTATCACATAAGTTCTGCGTAATTGTATGTAATTGTAGGCTTTTTGGATATAGTCGGTACGATCCTCCCTATGTCTCCTCGAATCTGGATATTTTTCTTATAGCTCATTGTGCTCCTGTCCACCAGCATCGGTATCCTCGAGGGTGACCTTCACCGCCTCGGCCGCATCCTCAATCTTGGCCTTTATCTTCTCCTTGACTCCCTCGGTCTCCTCGCTGGCGGCCTCCTTCACAATGCTAGCTGGAGCCTCGACTCCCTTGATGCCCATTAACTCGGTCTCGAAGACTAGTGTTTGTTAGTGGCGGTCAAGACAACTGAGGGGGCGAATACATACTCAGTGTGCTGCCAGCGGGGATTGGTCCCATGTTCCTGTCTCCGTAGCCAAGGTTAGGAGGGATGGTGAGGGTCCTCTTCTCTCCGATGCACATATCGAGAAGTCCCTCGTCCCATCTGCAGAGGGTGTTAGATGCTGTTGGGGCACATTCAAAGGACAGCAGTGTACACGCACCCCTTGATAACCTGTCCCTGGCCAACAACGAAGCTCAATGGCGAGCCGCGGTTGTAGCTTGCATCGAATTCCGAACCATCAGCCTGGAGCGAGCCCCTGTAGTGGACATCGACCTTGTCTCCCCTCTGCGTCTTCCGCTCGCACTCGACGGCTCTGGTGACCTCAATATTCAACTCCGGGTCGGCAGCGAGGACGGTGGAGGTAGCCGAGGCTAGGACGGCAATTGAAAGAGTCAAGAAACGCATGGTGGTGGTTTGTATAGGACGGTTGTTCTTAATTGAGTTCTTAATTGAGTGTATGGTGGAAATCAGAAATGGGAGGTCGAGGTGTGTGCCTGGATGGTTATGGTAGTCACGTGATCGGTATGGGCCCCACCTTTCGGCGCTCCTTTGTCGCTCACCTGCTCTCTCAATCATATCCACTACTGTGCGGGGTAGTTAGTGTTTCTCAATATCGTCATTGCGCTGGATGAAAAAATATGTTGTTTCCCGGTTTCTCATTGTCTGTGCCCTTCTTCTTATCAGTCTAGGCCTTGTGGTTCAGCCCCAAATCCACGATGACTCGTGAGGCTTTCGGCGAAGCAAACTGCGCGCTTGAGTCAACCGCAACATACGCTGGTTTAGGCAGCGCACCTGATAGCCTCCGGGCAAAATTGCAGCTCCGCTCGCCGCCCATGCCCCGATTGATACTCGGCAGCCTTGGGGGGCCAAGGGTTTCCCAAGGCTTCCATTGTACCTTGGCCTCAGGAACGAATAAACGTCAATGTTTCCCTCGTCGCCTGGCTGGCTTGTCTCTGGATTGAAACCAAGAGAGTAGCATCCTCGCTCCTTTCAATCCATGCTCCGCTCTCAATCGTCATTAGGGCTCGGTGAGGAAGGGCGATGCTCGGCATTGAGTCATTTCTTTGAGTCGCTGCCTTGCCAATCGTCAGGCGGCAAGCAGGGCGCAGTCTGCCATTTGGCCTGGCGATGTGCCTAGGCCAACTCGGTGAAGATCAAACAATCAATGGAGTCACCGGTGCTGGTGCTGGCAGCCTCGGTGAGCTGCGGGCTAAGCTTGGCCTCCCTTCAATCCAGGCACCACCTATAAGTCTGAGATGTGTTTGTCAGTGGAAATCGTATATAAGGTTTGTTCTTCCTCTCTGTTTCTTATTCCAATCCTCGTTCAATCCTGTTACCATCGCATCAAGCCCTGTCAACAGTATCACCACTCCAAACGCATTCCAAACTATACACGAACGGCACCACCTTTACACAAAATGTCTAGCCGCTCCTCCTACATCACCTATGGTCCAAGGACGTCCTCGTCCTCCGTCAGCTCGCGCGGTTCCGCTGGCTACGTCGACTACAGAGTTCCCGTCTCCGAGTCCCCAGGTAAGCCCAGCCACCAGACGACATCTCCATATTCAACCACTAACACATTCTCCACAGGCCGCTATGGCAGCAACGATGGGGTCTACTCTGTGACCCGCAACAAGGTCCAGGTCACCAACCACAAGCAGCGGATTAGCGACCCAGCCGAGCCACGCTCTAGCGATGCGGCGGGCTACTACGGCGGCTCCTCCTACCAGAGATAGAGAGCCCGACTACGAGTTCTCATAATGCATGGATGGATGGATACGATAACGAGATTGATACGATAACCTTGGGGACATGGATGGATACGATAACGGGATGGGATATTACAACGTTTGCGAGGCACGGGCGGGATATTACAACGCTTTGGAGCATGGATGGGATATTACAACGTTTTTTCGGAGCATAGGAAAGGGGCATTTGAAGCATTAGATGCACTTCCAACCCACGCATAGAAGCCTCGCGGCTCTGCTGGGATGAAACAACAGCGGCGAATTTAGATAGATGGGATTATTTAATCCCAACCTTTCTGGGGTTTGGGGAAATTTTACTACCGTTTTTTTATCATATTTTAAACTTCGGGGTTTTTTTTGAGACTCGGTGTTTGGGGTGTTTGGGGTGGATGGGGGTGATTGCTTCCTGCAGGTTAAACCTCGATATGCCGCCTTGGGGGGTATGCAGTATGGTGGTTTGCCTCGAGGGTTGGTGTGCAGTGTAGTTTGCCCCGAAGCCTTGGGAGATATCTCGACCCGGCCTTCTCTCGAATCTCAACGTCCAGCCCGGCGGCCAGTCTCATACCCAGCACCCGCCTCATAATACTCCAGTTATACCCCAACTCGGGCACAGCACCGCCATCACAAGACCCACTTTGATTCTGGACCTCGAAGTCGAAATGCTAGCCGGAGTTTAACCCAGCCTAGGTCTAGATCTTGATAGACTCGCTAGGGAGGGTGCGATTGGATGGGGTTGTGGGGTTGTGGGGTTGTATGCCTATTAATTACTTTCCATCACGTGGTTTCCATTCGATACTTTACCTTCAAATCTTTCCGTCGAAGACGGGCCAGGGAAGCAAGATCAGGAGAGAGACGTAACTTTATCATAACTCAAATTGGGCTAGCTACATAATATTCACTGCACATTCATCGGGTTTGGTAGACGGCCACTGTTGCAGCCTCCACAGTGACTTTAGGGTAATTGCAGAGTCTGCCTCGTAGTATTCCCCAGGGACTTCTTCACAAATAAGATGAAATAAATATTAAAGTTTGCTACCACATATCCACGAATTATATACCATACTATACCATACTATACCAAGTCCAAAGGGTCCAGAGTTCCGAATCCCCATCCATTATACCTAATCCTCACCACGACCGCCACATTTACCTGCCCACAGGCCCCCCAGAACTCGCACTTAATCCAACCTACAGCCGCAAAAGGTCACAGTACTCTACAGTAACATCGCCATTAAACACACGGCTACGGCGCCATCGCACCAGTATCTGTGCAACGTGTTCTCCAGCCGGTGTCGACGCTCTCCTGTCTCGGATCCGTGGCGTCAACCACTCAGCCCTGCTGTTTCACCGGCGCGGCGGCAACCTACATAATGTGGTATCAATCGTTAACGACAGCTTGTCGTTAACGATTGATACCACATTAAAGGGTGCATAAATTACCGCTCCTACCAATCGGTCTAGGGTTTCGCTAATTAAGGGTAGAGCATGTCGGTTCTTAATGGTGATATTGTTAAGGCCACGGTAATCGACGCATAGGCGCAAGCCTCCATCTTTCTTTTGTTAGAAGAGCACTGGGGCTCCTGGATCTTCGGATCCAGCCTTTCTTTGTGCTCTCTTCGAGGTAGATGCGCAACACCTGCAGTTCGCTTTGCGATAGGTTGTAGAGGGGTCGGAATGGAAGATCTCCGTTCTCAGTCTCGATGGCATGGTCGAGCTAATTTTACACCGGCAATATGCTAGCGTTCTCATCTGAGAAGACGTCAGCGTAGTCGGCGAGGTACTCTAGGAGCACTAGGGTTATCGCCGTAGCTGGCATCGCTCGTAGTCTAACAGGGTTCTCGCCATGTGAGGGGGTATAGAAGGGGGTTGAGCTGTCAGGGCGGTAGAAGTCAGCATAGACATCCTTGCTTGCCCTTTCTTAAGGAAAGGGCAATCCTATTTATGCCAAAGGAGTGTAGTTCTCTCATTTTCCATGACTTTCCATGACTAACCAGGCTTGGTAAATGTATTAGAAATCAAGTGCGACCCACAACTAGCTTGCTAATCATGTAGTGAACGTAAGAGAATCCCATAGAACCATCTCTTGGGTTCCTAGCCTATAGGAAGTGAAAAGGAGGTCCAAGGTCAGAGTACCTATAGACAAATTATGTCATAACTTAACCAATCTTGTGGGTAACTAAGGAGCGATGACGTGTAATCAATCATAGAGAGTTGTAGAAGCTTCTACGGAGGTGTTGTTCATAAGTTTTGTGAGTGGGTCGTGAGATGACCGGGGGTTGGGCATGGGTTGGAGCATGGGTACACGTAGGCTTGTTTGTACCTTTTTAACACATCAAAATTCTTACTCTTTCAATAACTACAATGCCTCATCTTACTTGCGATGAGCGGCTTCGTTGCACACTACTACGCTCCCTAGATTGGGAGTTCCATATATTGGCTGCATGGAACGGCAGGCTTGGTATGCTTGCCAGGGCCCTCCAACTCTGAAGAAGCATTCGGGTAGGCCACTTATTCTATCCGATGAGCAAGTTCAAGAGGTTATTGAGTTTATAGCCTCATCTCGCACGAATAGGCGTATGCCATACACAAATATAATACGCAATATTCCATGCTCACGGCTTGTCCTAACCCATGCTCTGTCTGTGAGAGGCTAATCGACGTGAGTATCCCTCTCTACTTTGCTACTATATAGACTAATAATTATTAAGGGATTGCTATGCGGAAGCCTATTATCTCAGAGACAAATCGACAAAAGCGACTTGCATGGGCTATTGAACATAAGGATTGATTGGAATAGGATACTTTGGACTGACGAGACGTGGGTAACGGGAGGCTGCCATACTCATATGTGGGTTACTCGAAAAGCAGGGGAAATGTGGGATGATACGTGTGTTGTAGATAGAGTACAATGGAGAAGGTAAGAGACTCCTATTTACTATAGGATTTACTAACAATCCCTAGAGGTTGGATGTTCTGGGGCTGTTTCTCAGGTGGTCTGTCATACTGACATTCGTTGCACTCAGTTTGCTATCAAACTCAAGAGCAAACTTAGAAATCTCCTCCTCAAACCTACAAGTCACCATACATATCTTGGCTTATCACACCAACAACAGAAGCAATACTACTCAACGATTGCTGCAAACTCTTCTACTACATCTGTTTATGCTACATACATCACGGCATATCATTTGGACACTCATTGAACAAGTTATTAAGAAAATCTCCTCCTTAAGGGGGTGGGCCAATACTACCACATGGCATATCTCTACCAACTAGAGGCCTAGGAACATGAACGATAGCTCTAGAAGCTTCTACAACCCTCTATGATTCATTACACGTCATCGCTCCTTAGTTACCCACAAGATTGGTTAAGTTATGACATAATTTGTCTATAGGTACTCTGACCTTGGACCTCCTTTTTACTTCCTATAGGCTAGGAACCCAAGAGATGGTTCTATGGGATTCTCTTACGTTCACTACATGATTAGCAAGCTAGTTGTGGGTCGCACTTGATTTCTAATACATTTACCAAGCCTGGTTAGTCATGGAAAGTCATGGAAAATGAGAGAACTACACTCCTTTGGCATAAATAGGATTGCCCTTTCCTTAAGAAAGGGCAAGCAGGCAATACAGTAAATCGACTATCACATACTTCCACGTCTTTTCCAAGCTTCCAAGCATTCATCTTGTTACTCCTTGTTTCTGAAAAGTCAGTGAGGTGTTAACCTCTGACTTACCCCTGAGTTCCCAGACTCAACATTTGTTGCAACTTGTCTAAACCACTTCACCACATCATACACCTGATTGCTGCGTTGTGGAATAGTCTAAGCTACAACCCTTTGGCTCTGTTTCCTAAGACAGTGTGTTGTCTTAGTAAATTCATCCCTTCCTTGGGTGGCTAGATTCTCATATCTGGTGCACCCACCATTACACCTTGCCTGCTTCAAGCTTCAACTATTTCTATAGCAGCACTTCGATACTACAATGGAGGACGACCAAGCTCCTACAACTACTGCTGAACAGCAGATGCAACAACTGTTTGCCTTTATACAAACTATAGCAAACAAACTTGAGAATTTGGAAAACACCTTTCAAGCCAACACTTCAGCAACACAATCTTCAACTCAGACACATCATACAGAGCTTCCCACAGCTCCTCTGGCTATTTCGAGTACCCCAGGTGCACTTCCTAAAGTGCAAACACCAGATTTATACCATGGAGACAGGAGGAAGTTGAAGGGATTCCTTATGCAACTGGACATCTACTTCGCCCTCAGGCCTCATCAGTTCACCTCAGACATTCAGAAGATCTATTTTGCTGCCAGCTACCTCCGTGGATCTGCATTCAACTTCTTTGAGCCATATCTTAGAAGACTTAGTGGCAACAACCAAAATACCACTACACCTTTGATTACCTCTTATGACCAGTTTCAAGAGGAACTTACCGGGACCTTTGGAGACATCAACGAAACTGCTACAGCAGAAAGAGAGCTACAGAAGCTATGTCAAAAGACCTCTGCTGCTCAGTATACAACAGAATTTAGGAGAATCACTTCTCACTTGACTTGGAATGAAGAAGCCTTAGTCTTCACTTACTACCAAGGGCTCAAGAGCTCTATTAAGGATGAACTCAGCAAAGAAGAACGCCCTACAACACTTCAAACGCTTATAGAGAAAGCTGTCAGACTTGATGATAGGCTTTTTGAAAGAAGAAAGGAGAAGAACCAAGACTGGCATCCAACAAGAAATTTCAACAATTACACCTCTACACCAACTGCTAAGGACTCAGCACCTGAACCTATGGACTTAGACGCCTCTATAAAGAGATCTACAGCAAATCCAGCACCTCAGCCTACAGGAAACCCTCAAAAACTGAAAAGGGGTAAACTTACCCCTCAAGAAAGAAAACACAGAATGGACAACAACCTTTGTTTATACTGTGGCAAAGGGGGACACAGAATTCAGGAGTGCTATTCAGCACGGGGGAATGCTGATTCAAAACATATAGCAGCCTCAGACACAGTCACAGCTGCTATTCCTGAAAAACTTGAAAAATCCCTAGCAGGCACAACTTCAACTGACTATAACTTCTCCCCTAGACAACAAAGATGTGTCGATGGTGCTTTCTCAGAGTCTCACACACCTGTTAATCCCTATTCAACTCCATTTCAAACAACAGGTGTTGTCTACAAGGGCTATGATAGACTCAGGGGCAACAGGCAACTTTATATCTCAAGACCTCATCTTGACCATCGGAATGATCATCTGTTGGGTTTATCCATACGAAAAGGTTGTTGGTTCTTGGCAGCTGAATATTCATGGCTCATATCCGAGTTGAAGGACCATCCAACACCTATGACGATTGAATATTCACGTCACATATCCCGATCGAAGGATTATCTAACACATGCTGAGAAATTTAACTGGCCTCTACTTGTGTTGAAGGATTCTCCAACACTTACTAGGAAATCAAACCTGCCTATACTGGATCGTATTCGGTTATGACGCCGCAAGCGACTCCTTAAAATACACATGTTGAACAGTGCTGATTATGACTGCCCTATAAGACACCCATATACACATAGATCGACTGAAATAAAGTCAATGAGGCATCCAAGCCGTCGGATCGCCATGGCATCCAACATTTTAAACATGGCCTCTCATTTTTGACCTGGCATCGCTTACCACCGAGCATAAATAATCGCCTACAAATTATTACCGCTTTGCTAACGGCTGCCCCAGGGGGCAGGTGGATACGATGTTGGGATCGTCATTGTCACCGGGCACTGCCAAAGTGATAACTGCGGCCGTCACGGGGATTGGTAGCCAATCTCTATGGCGATCCCCGCCGGCCCCCAATTGCCCCCAATTGCCCCCAATTGCCCCAACACTAGGGTCTTCTAGTCAAGGCTAAAACACTTTTTCCCTGTAGGATTGTTGGAAGGGCTTCGGCTTGAGCCCCATTCAGCTTCGCCAACGACGAAGAGGGCGAGAGACGGCCCTTGGTCGATCAGTTTGTCCCGCTAAGGCGAAAGCCTTGGCACCAACAGCCTCTGTAACTCCCTGCCTATTTTGGACTTCCTCGCCCGAGTAAGACAATTCCAAGCGCCTAATGCTCGTACGTCCTTCCTATTTGAAAGTCATTCACTGCGCGAAACACGATGGAACATTAGTCAGCGGTGTAAACATTCATCGAAGCATTTCTATATAATGCTTGTCTGCACACCACTGTATACTACATCGTATTCTGCCCGCTCGCAATAGTCCGCAATGTTATCCTCAACCCACATCATACTGTTACTGTCCTCGATTGCTTCTTCATGTTTCGCGCAAAACTTTAGTGATACAGTGTGCGATAAAAATGTCATAACTGCAACACTCAATGCGACCCTTGCAAAGGAGGGGCCAGTCTGCGGTTTGTCACTCGGAACGCATCTCGATTTCACTCAATGCTGCGCCCCAAACCAGCCGATATACACTACAAATGCATGCACGTATGTTGAATTTTTTTCGTGTCAAATTCCAACTTCCTCATTGTTAAGTTTGAGGAGAGATACTAATCAGTGGTACTGTACCATATCCAATACTGTCAGGTAGACAAAAACCAGACAGCTGGTTTCACTGATTGTGCTCGTCTTGTGGCACGAGATCAAAATCTCACTCTTGGCATTACAGCCTGTGAAGGTGGGGCTGGGAGGATCGGGCAGATATCTTCAGCGGGAGCAGTCATAGGGGCTGCCTTCATAGGGTTGGTTTTGGCCTTTTAAGTAGAGATTCAAATGTATTATATACGGCATTGATCCCAGAACCCACCTGCTGGCAGTGTTTTTGGTTGGTAAAAGGTCATTTGGGATATGGGGGAAGGGCGGAGGACGGAGGAATCAGAACTGGCACAGAAGAGTAGGACAGTGTCAATGAGAGGGTAGTTTGGAGAACAGCAGGGGGACGGATTAAACTGAGATGCTCAGTTCCCAGGACCTACAGTACAATACATATCTAGGCCCATTTAGTACATATCTTTCACGGCACTGCCACCCGTTTCAAAAGTGAAAGCTTAGATCCTATACCCAATCCATAAATTCATTCCCCACCTCTTCTATCTACCCCCCAGGGTCAACTCCCTACCTACGGCCCGGGCGCCGCACTAGCCCCCTTCTTCTTCTTGTCTTCCACCAACTCAATATTATCCCCCGGCACCAAATCCCCATACTTCTCGAGCAAGAAGTCCTCAATCTCCGTACTCACATCCCCCTGCACGACAATCTCCTCGCCCCCACTCGCCGTCTTGGTAACGCTACTCCCCGTCGCGAACTTCTTGCCGAAATCCTTACTCACCTTCTTGAGCTCGAGCCCGAAGGCTTCAAGTCCAGAGACCGCAGTCACGTATTTGCGCTTGTTGCGCTCGACGCGCTTGATGGTGCCACCAATAGACGGGCATCTATCGTTTGTGAAGACAGAGCAGGGCGACCCTTAATGGCCAACGACATGCCACTAACCGTATGGTATCATACGGAGTATAGCTTCATAAAAAAGGCGATGTTGGTTCGTATTTGTTTGCATTGGCCACTGGAATACAGAAGCCGAGGTGCATACAACCGCCCTTTGTTCTTTGTAACTCGTTTGCCTACCTCCGCACATTAACGCCACAATTTCTACAGTGAGTCGTCCGCCGCTGTATCATATGCAGTGGTATCCCAATGAGGACCAAGGTCGCATGCACTTCACGGGGAAGATTCAAGGCTACCGATAGAGAACGATAAGCAGCCCTCACACCATCTTCGTTTAAAGAGCACAGTGCACACCATGTCCAGTTGCCTTCGAAAAGCTATTCACTGTGGTCTCAAGTATGCGTAACAAGCACTGAACTATAGCTCTGTGTGAAGAGGTCAGCATGGAGAATGGCGTGGCAGATTTGCCGTGTCCACACCTTGTTTCGCAAGCAGGTTCATGGCTTCCTCATTGGTTCGAATGTTACGTATCACGTGAAATATCATGTTCATTCAACACGAGGAGCTGCATTAAGTGTATTCCTCTAGGAGGGTGTCCTTGTATTTACACCTACAACATGTGAGCGAAGCGGCCAGTCGGATTCGATGATTACTTGCAGAATGAAGACAGAAGGCAAAGGTTACGGAGTCTCTCGGAGCAAACAATGTCACAAGGACCAGTTGTTCAAGATGTATCTTTTCCGTCTCGAAGTCTAATTTTGTTGTAATATGTCACATGATCTCAGCACCACTTCCCCGCAATTTCAGGCAGCAATAGATAGACAGGAATACACACGCATATTACTCAACAGTTATGAGCCCGGAGCAACTCCAAGACGCATTTTGAAGCCTATAGAAACCCGTACGGACCTAATACCCCTCCTAGGAGTCGAAAAAACCATCATTATGGCGACCCTACAGAAGGCGGGGGTGGTCCTCACAAGCCCTAGAGACTGGGACGAGTGGATAGAGACTATCAAAACTGCTTCAATGAAGGCAGGAGTATGGGGGTATATCGATCCATCAATCGAGGACCCTCCTACACTCCTACAGCCCGTTCGACCTATTCCTGAGTTCGTACGGAGTGCCACGCAAGCTGGTGGTGGTGTTACTGCTCAAACAAGACCTGGAGTGTCAACAAGAGCTTCAGGTAGCCAGACCATCCAACCTTCAGTAGAAGGCCAACAGCAATTAATGCCAATTACGTACGCATCTCTTACAGAAGATCAGAAGGAACAGCTTCGAAACCTACAAGCTGATTTCCAATATGAGCGCAAGGTGTGGGAAAAGCAGGAGGAAGCAATTCAGGGGCTTCGCTCTAAGATCCAAGAAACCATCAAACGCGACTTCCTACCCTATACCTACAATTGCGATACTCTGTACGATATGCTTAGAAAGCTACGAGACCGATTCGCACCTACTCAAAGAGCTAGAATTGGAGAATGGAGACTAGAATGGCAAAAGGCTGCGAAAATGCAAAGAGGCAAGGACCTTGAAGACTGGCTCCTAAACTGGGAGAATCTATACACTCAAGGCCGTACGCTACAGGCAACAGAGGTTATCGACCCTCACGACGCTATCTATACCTTCCTTGATGCAATAGGACCTTGCGAATTCCGAGGACCATGGAAACACAAGCTAGAGAAGCAGACAAAGTCGTACGAATTTGAGGAGGTCCTACGACAGTATAGAACCAACCGTAGGCAAGAGAGATTCACCCAGAAACCTAGGGGGGAACATGGAGTTTTTGCACTACAAGAGGATGACAATAGCGACCTACAGCCAACGCTCCAAGGCCGTACAAACAACCTACAACAAGGTCAGCAAGGTCAGAGAGGCAGAAAACAGAAAAATCAGGCTCGACTAGACTGCCCTTGCGGAACAACACACAAGTGGTGGGACTGCCTCTATGTGATGAAGTCAAAGCGTACGAGGCAATGGCGCCCAAATAAAGAGATTGAAGCTAAAGTAGAGGCCTATATAAGTGACAAACCAGGATTCCAGTACGTTATCCAAAAGGCAGAAGAACAGAACAATTTCAACAACCCGAATGGAGTACAATCCCGTACGAATACAGATCCACCTATGTCTTTCACTACAGTCTTCCAAGTCTCCCAAGGACTAAAGCCGAAAACCTCAGCCTATGAGCTCTCTAAAAGCATAATTCTCGACTCTGGAGCTACAATTCACGTCTGCAATGACCGTACGAGGTTCTACAATATCCAAGAATGTCAAGATAATAGCTACCTCTTAGCTGGAGACCAAAGGGTGAAGATTGAAGCATTTGGGTCTGTAGATATTACAGTCCAAAACGGGGAGGATAAGAAGTCTCTACGGACTATCACCCTTACAGATACAGCTCTCGTTTCATCCTTCCACACTTCAGTCGCTTCTCTTAGACGATTCATCCAAAAGGGAGTTCATTGGAATACCGCTGCACAAGGACTTACATACGGAGATCAACCGTTCTGCAACACTCCAATGCTTCATGGACAATGGGTTCTTGAATACATCAAAAATGACCCTACCCGAGCTGTTTATAGCACTCAGGATCAACAGGACAACGTTGTCCTATCTTCGTACGGCCCTCGTAAGGACCTAAAAGGCACTGCAAAGGAATGGCATAACCGCATGGGACACCTAAACCAAAACGCCATTAGAAAACTCCAAGAGAAGACCGCTGGAGTTATCATCACAGACCTAGACTCGTACGATACTCAGTGCGAAGTATGCCGACTTACGCATGCTACAAGGCAGATTTCTAGAAGATCTACACCACGCTCAAAAGTGCCATATGAGAAGGTCCACCTTGACCTAATCCAAATGCCAGATGTAATGGTGGGTGCACCAGATGTGAGAATCTAGCCACCCAAGGAAGGGATGAATTTACTAAGACAACACACTGTCTTAGAAAACAGAGCCAAAGGGTCGTAGCTTAGACTATTCCACAACGCAGCAATCAGGTGTGTGATGTAGTGAAGTGGTTCAGACAAGTTGCAACAAATGTTGAGTCTGGGAACTCAGGGGTAAGTCAGAGGTTAACACCTCACTGACTTTTCAGAAACAAGGAGTAACAAGATGAATGCTTGGAAGCTTGTAAAAGACGTGGAAGTATGTGATAGTCGATTTACTGTATTGCCTGCTTGCCCTTTCTTAAGGAAAGGGCAATCCTATTTATGCTAAAGGAGTGTAGTTCTCTCATTTTCCATGACTTTCCATGACTAACCAGGCTTGGTAAATGTATTAGAAATCAAGTGCGACCCACAACTAGCTTGCTAATCATGTAGTGAATGTAAGAGAATCCCATAGAACCATCTCTTGGGTTCCTAGCCTATAGGAAGTGAAAAGGAGGTCCAAGGTCAGAGTACCTATAGATAAATTATGTCATAACTTAACCAATCTTGTGGGTAACTAAGGAGCGATGACGTGTAATGAATCAAAAAGGGTTGTAGAAGCTTCTAGAGCTATCGTTCATGTTCCTAGGCCTCTAGTTGGTAGAGATATGCCATGTGGTAGTATTGGCCCACCCCCTTAAGGAGGAGATTTTCTTAATAACTTGTTCAATGAGTGTCCAAATGATATGCCGTGATGTATGTAGCATAAACAGATGTAGTAGAAGATTTTGCAGCAATCGTTGAGTAGTATTGCTTCTGTTGTTGGTGTAAGGATGCCTCCTTACTCGGGTTAGTTACGGTCGTCACGTGGCGCCCTCGAGACTCGGGGCCATTACGGTTCAATCGCAACTGCGAGCCTTAGGCACATAGCGTAGGGAAACCTTAAGGCAAACAGGGAGTTAGCAGAGTCGGAGGGGTTTCGGGTATTTAAGGGAACAGGAACAGAGGGTTATACCTTCATCTTTTTTGTATCCTTCGTAGTAGACCTCTAGGATAGAATACAGCATCACCTCTGACCCGCACTCCCACATGCACCTACAGAGAGCCGTATTCCCTGTGCCCTTACATTATACAAAAAAGATCACGCCTGCCGGGGACGGCCGTACGCAAATAATATCCCACAACTGGAACGACTCAGGAGAACTGTCGAAACACCACCGACCGTGACTCGGTGCCATTTCGAAGTAGAGACCTGACGACTTCAAATAGCCGTGATTCCAGAGATCTCACGGACAGCCAGTGGATCAGGGTTTGATCCTGCAGAGCAAGCTGGTAAAGTCGCCGACGCGTTGGCGCCGAATAGGATACGAGATCCTAAAGAACCCCCTCAGCACAGAGGTAATTGTGAACAAGAGTGCTGATAGCTACGAGCTACCGGAAGTCAGACTCTTCTGTATCGACTGCGACTCGATACACCCCCGAATCAAGATGTCGCGCAAGACGGCACCAAATCCACCACCCGACAATGACGGTCAACCGCTACGAATGACAACGAGGCAAACCGCCACAGCGGCCACGACTACAGGGCCATCCGAAAGCCCCCCGGATCGCATAGCGAACCTCGAGAACGAGATGCGGGAGCTTAAGGCGATGATAGCCGGCCTTGTAGCCAGCCAGACCCGAATACCATCTACGCCGCCACCGGCCGCGGACACACCAGTGCGTACCATTGAAGCTGACGATAACGAAGACGAACAGTCTGAACAGCCAGCACCGACAGTGCGAAACACGCCCGGCACTGTTCGACTGCCACCTGTCGTCAATGCGCGCTCTCCTTCAATCCCAGTTCTACCCCGACAGTACACCGAGGACCCTCCGAATCGATACAAGAAGTCCACCATCTCTGAGAAGATTACGCCGCTCAGCGATGGGATAGAACATACTTTTATGCAATGGAGCGCGTCGATCCGAGACCGACTCGTAGTCAATGAGGACCACTACCCTACCGACGTCTCAAGAAGAGCGCTGATATGGGGAACTACGACCGGCCTGGCAAAGACCTATTTGGAACCCCAATACCTGTCCGTTACACATGCGTTTCGCAGCGCCGACGAGATGATGGACCTACTAGGTTCATACTTCCTCACCGGTAACGAGACGGAACAG